GTTGTTCTGGAAAAGTTCCAGAATCATATGTGGGACTATGTATACTGTTGCAGTAAAAATGAACCTCTTAGAGCATCTCCTATCGTTCGAGTAAATTTTCAGTAAATTTTCTGTACGTAGGTGTTCGGTACAGTATCAATCGGTACAGAACTGTCGAAATCCACTATCGTTGGAAAGAAAGTGCCTCGGTACAGTACCAAATGGTGAGAACAATGGTTTCCCCGCAGATACCGAATCGGTAGAGGTCCAGTAAATTTGCTGGACCTCTACAGAATTTTGACCGATTCGGTGGATACCGAATCGTGTTTTAGACACGATTGGGGAATTTAAGGGTCGGTACAGTAAAATTTACCGTACCGAAGCCCTTTACCGAGACGATAGGAGATGCTCTTAGAAAGGTCAAAAAAAGATCATGTACAATATGGAGTTACAGTATGGGTTATGATAGGTAGTCAGATCATTCATGTAGAGTCTTCCTCTCCCTTAGTCCGGTTTCTCTTCTTCTTCGTGGATCTTTCTCATTCTCACTTTTATCTCTTTATACATATTACTGGTTTCTGATCATCGAAGTGCTGGACTAGGAATTGAAGCAAGGTGATTAGATAAATCCCTTGCTCTCTTGAGCTTGCACCTTTTGACGAATCTTCCCAGTGAAGGTGGAGAGTATCACTACACCTTACAACTACACTGCGCAAAAACTGCGCTGCAAGGTGCCCCATTGCAGCGGGATTGTCAGAAAACCCCACTGCACCATGTAGCACCGCTGGGGCTTGGTGGTTTTCAACCCACTGCGCAGATTTGCACCACAGCCCAGCACAGTGTGCGCAAACTGTGCGGCCCTGCACGGATCCAATCAGATCCAGGCAGATACCCCTACCCTGCCTCCACTTCAGCCAAAGCAGGCATGACACTCCCCTTGCATCCAAATCTAGCCAATATGACACCGACAAACTAGTCAAAACGTTTTCATCTTGGTTTACAAGTTCTCATAAAGACTCAGGGAAGTTGTTTTACAGTTGAAACATAAAAACTTTCCCGTCTTGTAGTTTTTTTGTTGTAAAGAATTGAACTCCATACCCCTTATTTCCTCTTAACTCTCTGGTCTTGTTGCCCTCAAGTTTTTGTGGTTATAGTTTCTTTTTATCTTGCTTTCTTCATATAATAATATGGCCATTTTTTTTACCATGACTTACAATTATGTGCGCACTCCACTGCTCCGCTGCGCTGTGCACACTACACTTTAGCGCATCACAGGGAAGGAGCCTGTTTGAGCACATTGCGCATCCTGCGCACCACAGCAAAGCGCCAGTGCACAATTTCTCCGTGCACTACAGTAGTGCACAAAATTGAGGTGCACTGCCGTGACGTCGGGGATTGGTGTAGGTTGTATGTGGTGTTGACATGTTGGATTTGGATTATTCAGACATTGGAAGGTATTGGCATGGACAATCTGGTACTAAGTCTGTCACTTTCTTTTCCTTCTCCACTAAGGCTTGGAATCTGACCCAGGCATTTTTGGCCCTCTGAATGTGCTCTTGGGCTTCAGAGTGGTGTGCTCACAGGCCAGCCAAAAGGGCCCAAACAAATACTAGGTTTGAGGTATGGGTGGTGACAACAGGCAATTTGAGAAGCTCAGAAAGGTGGCAAAGGGACCAAAAAAGGTAGGGAAAGATTTTAATACCCGCAATGGCAAAAAACTCACAAATTTCCTTTTTGCTGGGCCCCACAGGAGAATGTTTTCTCTTGATGCCGGGCTGAGTTGACCACCAAAAAAGGGCCCAAAATGGCCAACTTTGTGACATACCCTGCGTCATAACCTTGACAAGATACTGAAGTAGTGGCGACAATAAGTGTATCTCCCTGTATCAGCCTAATTTGGTTTTATCAAGTAAAGGATTCCAATACCCAAATCATTCAAAAAACAAACTAAGATCATTTTGGGGGCTCTCTTGTTGGGGAATATGCTCAATCAGCCTCAGCAGAACACATGGTAAAGCTCTTGTTTATTTTTGTGTTTTATTAATCAGATGGACAATAACAAAATTTGGGTTGTTGTTGTAATTGCAAATTGACTGGTCCATGGTTTTGTACTTATATATGTTCAAATAGGTTACCTGCCATGATCTCCTATAGTAATATTGAGTGCACAGGAACTTTGCCAAAATTTGTATTCACACTGTTGTGTGTTTGATTTTTTTTGCCAAAGAATTCAAGACCAAGTCAAGATCCCCCGACAATTGCTTTTTACAACATTGTAGAGTTTGGTTCAACTTGAAAGAGAGCAAAAATAATGCTGCCTAGATGTCTACAGGGTAATGACTTGTTTTCTGTGGTACACAAACCACCAAAACAAAATATTCTGGAGGAAAGTTACATTGAAATTGGGTTTTCAGATGAGGTGGTGCGGAACCACAACTGGGACAATGAGATTACCAGTTTTGAATATTCATAAAATCTCAAAAAAGTGGGGACCAAGTTTTTAGGATCTGTTTATAAGAGATATGAGATCCAATTAAAAAAATGGTGTGGCAGAATTTTATGCCAATTCTTAGAACCATATGTGCATTGCAGCTAACTTGCCATGAATTGAGGGAGATTATGTCTCTTCCTTATATATGACATGTGTTGCTCAGCATTGAACAGCCACAGCTGAGCTGCAGTCACTGAGGATTGTTGAATTCTATTGATATATGTCTCACACACTCAGGTGTTACAGAATCTCTGCCCAATATAAGATGTACTTCTCTGGCCTATTCACAAATAACATAAAGGAAAGTGACACAAGGTGTACAAGTCTATTCGGAAAAGATACGACACATTAGTCGGGGCCGGTGGAGTAAATGTGTTGTATCTTTTCCAAATAGACTTGTACATGAAAAAGTTGATATCAGTGCCTCTGTTGACTCATTGACAAAATTTGATCCATCAGTGGGAATTGATTTTTTTCCAGCCCTTGTTTCAAACCTCCTATCTAAGACCTCTCATTTTCAAAGATGAGAAGGGCCTCAAGCATCTTGATCAAACTACAGTGGTTAATGGGGTGCTATCTATCCTCCTTTTCATGTCAACTTTTAGCATAGGAAGCTTTGTCCATCCAATGAGATAAGGAACAAATCATATCTCTGATAGAAGATAATATTGGTATAGACTTAGTGACACCAACACCTGACGTCAGCGCAGTACAGCACAGAATGCGCAAAACTGTGCTGCGCCAAAAAATTCAAAATGTCCCAAAATCTTCGAGGCCCCTGCGGTGCGCTCCAGCACAGCGCAGTGGGGAATTTTTTTGTTTTTTTGGCAGATGGAAAGCCCATTTTTTCTCAATTTTCCATTGGAGCAGTGACACATCCACTGCGCTGCAAAAAGGCACATTGGCAAAAAATCAAAAAGCCCCTGCGCTGTGAAAAGGGGCAGTCGCCAAATTTTCAAAAACCCCTGCGCTGAGCCACAGCGCAGGCGCAGGCTGTGCCTCGCAGTCTGCGCTGTGAGTCGGGTGTTGGTGACACCCTACTCCTGTATGGCTAATCAGGTCATCCATCCTCATAGTTAAAAAAACGCTTCCACCTCCAACACCACAGAAGGTTTAAATCCTGTCAAAAATTGCAGAGGGGCTGACATCTTTGCTGAAAAATGGAAATGATAAGGGCAGCAATGAATTTTAGAAGCGGCAGAGTCTGGTAATTGAATATAAAATAAAATGCCAACCTTTCTTCAAAGCCCTCAAATTACCTGACCAGGGAATCCCAAGGAAGAAGGTGATTGAGCACTTGGAACATTTAAGTAAAAACAACCAGTATTGGAAAACAGCTGTTGTTGCATACAATTGTCTGTGTTTTGTTATTGAAGAAAGCCCAGGTGGAGCAGAATGGCTGCAAGAAGTCAAACAAAAAGCATTGGGAACTCCTATGGATGAGGATGAGGATGACAAAACAATGTTGTTTCCAATCAAGAATTGTAAATCAATGTAGGGTTATCATGGTTGATTGATGTCAATTTATTTTCAGCTTCAGGATTTCTATACAAGGGTTATGTGGATCATGTTTCTTATATCAAAACCTACAATTGATTTCTTCAGTCTACTACATTCATTGGTCTCTTGAATGAAGACCAGTTATGTCATTTTTGACTTTTTCCTCTGACCCAAAGATCAAACTAGACCCACCATCCTAATCTCAAAAGACATGTATGACTGTTTCCTTCTGACGGTATAGATTATTTGAGCAAATTTGAAAACATTTGTTGTTATTATGGTGTGTGTCTGAATCTTTGCAGATGGATACCTCAAAGTCAATCTGATCTGAACTGTGCACAAGTGACATTATGTGTGTTATAACTTATTGTGCTCTTTAGAGCTGTTCCTGGTTGACTGCTTCTAACCTCCTCAATCACCCCATGAAGTGATCAAGTTGAGACTGATTATTACTTGGATATTCAGTGAGTTTGAACTCTTAGGTGTATGAGTAGAACTGGATATCCTGATGTGACTTGTGAACTTGAGGTCACCACTGAACAAATGCAGTCCCAGGGGTACAGAGATTACCATCTGCTACCAACCGGTGAGTAGCAGTGTAAAATTTGAGCTGACATATTTGAGTTGGAGATAGCCAGAACTTTAAAATTTTGAACTAGGCAATAGGCATGGAATTTTTGCTCACCAAAAGGCTGAGCAAAATGATTAATCCGCCACTCAACTCATGCCAGAAAACTATTCAAAACGGAACCCCATCTATCGCGGGATCTGATTTGTACCATAAGTTTTATTAAAACATATCAATCAACGTTGATACTGAAAAATGAAATGGACATCTTAGTCCCCAAAGTCTACACAACTCATCTGGTTCATGAAAGAATATTGATTCTGGAAATCAAAGATTCCATCTTCAAATCCATCTTCAAAAGTCACAATCAAATCATAAGGAATTTTTATACAATTAGTTCAACTACAATGACTCCTACTCTTACTCATACTCTTGAAAGATATTTTCCACCAAGCTATACCATCAAAACCGATCAATCCATGATTTTAAAGCTTTTCGAGTAGGTTCAGATGCAACTCTTAATCCAATCTGTAATGGAACCCAATCTTTAGAATAACATTTGATTAATTCTTGATCAATCAAACTGGATAATTGATCTTTCTTTAAATCTTTTTCTAATTTATTGATACACTGCTCGAAAAAAGACCAAAATATTGAAAAAACAAACAAACATTTTGCGAAATTAGTTTTCAATGATTTCAAATTCCCCTTTGTTTGGAGAAAATTGATTGGTTAATGAAACTTAACTAGTTTCAGTCCAATTGCTGCTCTTCTTACTGGTCCACCTCTCCATGCATCTGAAATCCTTTCACCCAATTCAACCACTCTTAAATAAGTTTGATAAGCCCTACAAAAATCATCAGATCAGTTTTTCTTTATAATTCTCTTGTAAAAAATGAGAAAGGATAGTAATACATTCAACACTCACAATTCAAAATGTCTGGCTGTATAAGCTGTTTGGGCATATCGAAGGAGATGAAATGTATTATCAGGTTGAAGAATAATCAAATCTTCTAATGCACTTAGAGCTTGATCATAACTTAGAAAGATATCACCAGAGGTAAATGAAAGATATTAACTTTTGTGTTGAAGAAGATTAAGACTTAAAAGGAAGAAAATCTTACAGTCCTAAAGTACAATAAGTCTCAGCTAACTGAATCCAACTTTCAGGATCTGAATAAACGGTATCAAGGTGTTGTACTAAAAGACTAATCGCTTCTCCTAATGAAAATATGCATTCTTCAGTTTTGTCTATCGTTGATTTTTGATTAGTTTGATTGACTAAATCTGGTAAAGGTGAATTATGTAAATGTAATGCGATTAATCGTTTTCTTATTCGCTTTTTCAATCATTTTGTTTTCAATCAATTCATCTTGTTAAATCAATCAACCTTTCTTCCCAAAAAATAAATCCTTTCATAAGATTTGAAGAAGAAAGAGAAAGAAAAACTTACAAGATTAGTTTCACCTGTGTCACCTTTCGAAGTAGATTTAGTATCAATCGGTTTATTTAATTCAAGTTCATAAAACTCTTTGGCTAATTCGATTTCTCCCTTCGATTCAAGTAACATTCCATGTAAAACCAAACATCTAGGTGATCCTGGAAACTTCTGGGTTAGGGGTTTCATTGTCTCATTTTTCAATCAAAATCACAGCAAGTCGTGAATTCATGGAATTTTCAACCATCACCCCACTCTCTGATGATCGCTGCAGTTGGGTACAATGGTGTGGCAAGTGACCTCCTATTGGCACTGAAGTGTGATGGATTTGACTGCAAAGATACTATGAGGGATTGCTACAAAGAGGTTTGGTAACAAGAGAAAAACACAGCAAGCACATTGGAATTCAGGCGAATTTGATCAACATTTGTTTCTCCTCCTCTTCTAAAACCTTGTGAGGCGTGCCCTGTTCCGAATCCCATAAACAACTAAAATCACGATGCAGTTCTTTTTCACCAGGTGTACATCCAGTCACAGAACTGTAAAGAGAATTAAAAGCCTACCAAAACAAAACGGAAGGAAGTTAACGATTTTGAACTTTGGTTGTGGATGAGAATTCGTGCCCAGCTTACCATGATGAACAATGTGTGGACAACTAAAAACTTGACTGGCAAAAAGTGGTCTTTGAATCCTTCCCAGCCATAGAGAGCATAGATTCCAATGCCATGGATTGTGCTAGTTTACAAAAGATGATATGGATGGTAAAGAAGGATGAAGACCACCATGTAATCAAAAATGAAGGCGGTTCTGTAATGGTCGTCAAAAAGAAAAGATGTGTGCGAATTAGTGTGATATCGATGGAGTATCGTAATATGTATGTACATGTATGCAGATTCTAGAAACCTACAGCATAGATATGATGTAAAGGAGCTGAGTCAAGTGAATTGGGAATATGTACTGATCAGCATACAAGAGATGTGATTATCGTGATGTTGGAAAAACACTCACGCTCACAAAAGATGCCCAGGACACATGGTCGGTTTCTGGATCTGGATATACAGATGTTGGAACTAGGAAACCACATCGTGAAATGTCAGTGGAGTAAAAATGAAGATATGCATCTAATATGTAAAGATTGACTTACTGGCTGGGATGATGCTGGCGAGCGCACAAAGGTTGGCCATCCAAATCGTAGCGAACCCATTGCGGGCAAGTTGCCTCTTCCATTCACAAGACCGGACAGGATAATTAGACATATTGTGTTGGTAATTGGTTGAGGGACGGTGTGAAAGAGAAGATGAAGAATTGAAGGAAAATTGAAAAGATGTATAGTCTGGAAGGCGGACTGATGAGTTGTGGAGAAGTGAAGTTTTGGGGAATAAAAGACCACAAAGCAGACACAGTATTTATATCTGATCATCACTGCAGGCCGACTTCCGCTAGGCAATGTTGACTTGGGCCGGAAAGGAATCCTGCCATCTTGAGTAGATTCCTTCTTGCACAACCGCTAGGCAAAAATGGCCCAGCCTCAGGGCAGGAAAGAACTCCCGCTATATTCAGTAGATCTCTCATGTTTCCCTGATTGTCTATCAGTATCAGTCCATCTCACCGCTCTCCCTTGTATTACACTACGGTCCAAACTTGAAGGGCAGAATATATGTGCTCAAAACATGCCCAGTAATGACATTCAAGAAACATGGGACTTACTTAGCAGTGACAAATCTGTTTTGTAATTGTGATGTGGATTTTGTGTTTTTGTAGAAAATATGTAAGGCTGATGTATTTCTTATCATAATTTGAAAACAGATATTCTCGAGGTATCTCGATACCTCATCAGACGTGTGCTCGGGCTTCGAACCGCTGGTATTCTGGGGTTTCCTAGATAAGATGATCAAGGCAAGGGGACTCTGACTATTCTTGACATTAGGCAGAATTGATCGCGATGATATGGATGGGGAACAAACCCAAGTTGGGATGTGTTTTGAAACATAAACACAATGATATTTGATGATACAAAATTGTGAAAGACAACTCTACTCATGTCCAAGGACCAACATGCTGGGGCTATGATTTGAGTTTGTTGGCATCATCATATCATTCGACCCATTTGGGTATCCATTCCACTAATCTTCTCATGATCAGTCGGATTAGCTTGAGCTTCATAAATGGCTATGACTGGTTTGCGAGACAGCTGTTGAGGAATAACTCTCAGATCAACATTTGTATTGCGTACAACTATCTTTGAGATTACTTACTGCGCTAAATTCTCCTTTGAACCCAAGAAAATAAACTCGTGTCTTGGAACCTGATGGATTACCATCGATGAACAAACTTAAAACGCTCACCGATGAAAATTTAGCGACGCTGATGTCATAGAAATTTCGTTTAGCTCCTCATTTGAAGAATGATACCGCAAATGTTCACTCACCGTACTGGGAACTCTACTAGCTCATCTGTTGTAGGAATCTCAAGCACTTGGGTAGGAGTACATGTCTCTAGGGTATCAAAGTCGAGACCAGGCTCATTGGCAAACTACAAAGAATTGATTAGATCCTAGTATGGCATGCCTTCTAGAAGAATTTGACAATCATTAACTTACGAGTTTGAGTTGAGTAGGTGCAGAATCACCAGGGATCCCTCGAATTAAGATTGATCTTAATTTAACAGAACCAGTAAAAGGAATCCTAATGATCATTTGTTGATCGGTATCCGATTCGGAAAACTATACCCAATTCCCCACCCATCAACCCCTTATACTTTCATTAGAAAGTTGCCAGATTATACGAAAGAAAACAATCGAATTAAATCTGATGTCGTTATACGAGTTCTGCCCACCATCGTATCATCCATTCGATCTGACCATGGTTTTATACAATTCTTGGCTGGATTCTCTGGATCGAGATTACAACTTGTGATCTGATCACGATCAATCTATTTGAAACAGAGGAAACATAAGAATCAAATTGGTCGAGAAGATGTATATGGTCAAATTTGTTTACCTTGGAGTAAAGAAAGTCTAATTGATTTCCCCGATCATAAACATGATGATGTCAGTGTGAAATTAATAAAATGCCAGATCCAAATCAGATCCTTTTAAATTTGAGACTTACCTTGAGTACCTTCTCCTGGTTTAACATGCTCATCATCGGGTATACCTCCAGCTTGATGAGAACAACATCCATGATCGTGACTGTGATTCGGGTGACTCATGATCCGCAAAATTGATTTGAAACATGAAGAGCTTCAAACGTTAAACGGTGTGCCGTGTGAAATGTATGCAGGAGAATGGTACCGAAGCTCAGCCCAAATATTCACGGGTTTCAAACTTCCCAGCCTCGAGAGTTAAGGAAGCTCATCAAAACCAACAGAACTTTTCGTGGTTGAGAAGCAGAGGGGATTTATCATTTCATGATCAAAAAAAAGATACAAAAATCAAAGGAATGATGTTGAGAAAATTGTTAATAAGCGGAACCCTTGAATGTTTCTTGCTTATCTGTTCATGAGATCAACCTCACCTCATGACTTGAGAAGACTTACTTACAATTTGTTCTGTTGTCTCGCAATTGCGCACACAATTCTTGATTTTGTCACAAGTTTCTCTCATATATATTGTTGCGTGATTTCTGTTCAGGATATCATCCAAAGCTCATTCCTTGATTTTTGTTCGTTGATGAAACCAGTGACTTCTGGGTCTATGACAGAGAAGACATTGATCTTTGATCAATAAGCAACATATTCCTTGGTCCAATCACTTGCCATTTATAGGCGTTTTCTAATATAATCGCGGTCAGATAACCCCTGCGCTCTCATCAAATCGAAGTATTCAGGTAGTAGACTCAGATTCTTTATCAACAGATTGATGGCAATATCTTTACAAAGGACCAAAGTTTTTTTCTTCGGCAAGACTCAGTCTCCACCCTTGATCTTTTTCCCGAGAGCTCTGAAGAAGATACGAAGCTCTTCTTGAACACAATTTTCCTATCTAGTCCCTCCAACGACTTCAAGGGTCAGGTTTTGCATATATTGCAGCGGCACCAGCGCGGTGCGGAGCAATGTCCAGCCTTCCTCTACATGGACTTGAATATCAACAGTCATCAACTGCGCTCAAACTCCCTCGTTCATCGGCATGGACAGGCATGGACCCATCCGAGCCGACCTCAAAAATGCCAAGGAACAGGTTGGAGTCAAACCGGCGTATGTAAACAGCAGTTTACATCACCGAGGCTCCGAGCTGATTGAAAGAGATACAATCCTTGTCGTAATGTCAATTCTTGTATAACGAAACTCAGCCTGAGCCCCGACCCGAAAAACGCGGGTAATGGCCTGCCCGCACCCCGAACCGATATCCAGCAGGCTCCCCCGCGCCCGAACCCTACCCGAACCGATCAAAACCCGGCTTCCAGAAGGCCCCCCGACCCCTAACCCGAACGCCTGAGACCCGCGGGAAGCCGGGGGTCCCGCGGATAAGATCCGGGGTTTGAGGACTAGCCCCCCCCGCCCCCGAACCCTACGGGGCCCCCGATGTACTGGGGTCCCAAAAAAGGTGACCGAGCCCGCAACCCGAGGGTTCGGGGTTCGGGGAGCCCTCGGGGTGTCGGTCTCGGGGCTCAGGCTGAAACGAAACAGATCAAATATCAATCACGCGGGGATAAATGGATGGTTTGTGTGTTTTGAATCGAAATATAGAATAGTGGCTCTCAAACCTGCCCCGGTTTTCAAAAAACCCAGTTGACCCAGTTGTATATTGGCAGTAACTTTGTGTATCAAGTTGACATTTGTCGACAGCTCCCAGCCAAAAATTCAACTGGGGCAACCAGGTTTTTTGTAACTGGGTCAGGTTTGAGAGCCACTAATATTGTAGCAACTGAATATGACGGGAGAACAATGATTATATTGTAGGTTATGAATCTTTGACAACTTGATATTTATAGAAAGTTTTGAAGAACTCACGAGGGGTGAAGAGCTCTTGCAATACCTTCTGAACACGGCGGGCTCTTGAGAATCGTTGGCGGTACCGGGTAGACACAATCTCACTGTGCGTACACGCGCCCCGTGAGTGACTGTGTGACACGATCATAATCCGTGATCGTTTTTTCCAGCAATAGTTACAAAATGCGCATGGTGAGTTCATTGAAACTGTGGATTCGATGAGAGAATGTCCTGTCTGACTGACCGTGTGTCTTCGATGTGCGCCCTGTTGCTCGAATGGACTATCTTCGATTCCTAGCTACACTCGTCTGCCGCCGATGAGCCTGAGGTGGAGGTCAACCAAGCCGACCAAGCGAATATCAACCGGTTTTCGAATCTTAATGTTCAATACGAAGAACTCGAAGCTAAACTTCAAGCCAAGAAAGATGAACTTGATTACCTTTCTGAGTTAGAGACGGATCTGATGATGCTAGATGATGATGAATTGGTGATGTAGCGCATCTCCTTCTCAGTCAAAATAATAAGAGTTTAGAGAACCTTTTGCTCATGTACTGATATGTTTCTTTGGCCTACCTTCCCAGGTATAAGCTTGAGACCTCTCTGGTACACATGACTCCTGCTAAAGCCACCGAGCTCAACGAACGTAACCAAAAGAAACTTTCAGACACCGTAGATCGGCTTCAAGCAGATCTAGAGAAGTGCGATGAAGAGATGAGCCAGCTGAAAAAGTTACTTTACAAAAAATTTGGCAGTTGCGTTTTTTCAGCTCCCTTTCTTCTGATCTGATTTGCTTGACTTAAGTTTGTTGACCATGAACAGATACTATCAACCTGGAGCGCAACGAACCTGCCTAAGCCAACACTATCCCACATTTTCACAGGGTTCCGGCCTGCCTTAAGTCCAGTAGAAAAAGTATATCATATGTAATCAATCTGGCGCTTAGTCATTCAATATGCACAAACATCGACTTCGCGCTCAAGAAGCTAGCAGATATAAACCGAACGATTCTAGCTCTACAATTACCACTTCTTTGGACCACAACAAGATGCTTGTTTTGTTTTTGATTTTATCATTTGGCTGCGTAGCTCCTCCAGGATGAAGGGATATAACGAGAATCTCCCAGCAAATGTGATACGTCTATGCGTAGTGACAATCCCCTCAGATGACAATGGACAGTATCAATCCTGGCGTGTCTCCTATGCATGGATGTGCTAAGTTAGCTGTCTTGAGGTGAAGAAACCTGGAGGAAAGGACTCTTGGGAACCCTGTGATTACCATTGTTTTTATTTCAGATTCATGATAACGTGCACTACATGGTGGCATATTCATGTGAGAGGTGTGAGCTATGCTGCCAAGTCCATGTTGTTGATGGGGTGCGATGCTCAGAAGAAGATTACCAAATCCCTCAGGATTTGAGTCAATTAAATCTTGAAAGCCTGAGGGGGAGAGTTTTGATGTGGTCAGTGGAGTAATTGTTTCTGGAACTTGACTACATCAATTGCCTTTTTAGGTGAGTCAAGTTTAGCACTTGTAGTCTTAGTCTTGCCTGTGTTTTTATACAAAATGGATCTATGTACACAAGGGGGTGCAATGCACCCCTTGCACAGGGGATGTGAGCCAAAATTTTGCGCCAAGTTTCTGCACACTAGTGGACCAGATTTTGAAAAAGCTGCACCCACCACCTAATGCCTGACAGGTGCACCGGGTCCTGACATGCTTTCAGAAGTGCGCAACCTGTATGTACTGCATGACCTTTATTTGCCTGGTGTGGTTGTCCTTATATCAATATCATATTGTTATCTTTGTTATCTTTGTTTTTCTTTTGATCTTGATATGGATGTATCTTCCTTGTTGTGGTGGTGTAGTCACATATTTGTACATAACTGTGGCACATCAGTCATGTGCTCAGCAGTGTATATTGACTAGTGATAAATCATTGTCAGAATATTTGAAGGGCAATGAATTGGAGAGAAAGTTCTCTCTCACCACAAATTACTTACTATCATGTGACCCAGTCTGTGACTGCGCAAGTATTTTTCCATTTTTTTCTTATTTTCCCAACTTGTTTGCCACATCCAAATTACCCTCTTACGCAATACCAGTTGAAATGGAGGTCAACAACGTGCCGGCCATGGGCCAGAAGGAGCAGAGCAAAGAACACTGCTCCAACTTGCAACAAATCCAATGTGTTTATCAATCCTTGACAAGTTTGGTCAGGTTTGGTCTAACTTAACTGAGTCCAATCATAAGGGGACAAAATTCACACACCAAAAGGCAAATATCCTCCCGACCAGGGGAGCTGGAATTAGGGCTAACCTAACTAAGTCCCTCTTGGACAAACAAGTAGTCAAGAGAGGGACTTATAGCTTATTCACAAAATTTGGTGTGTGAGCCTGTGGACCTTTGGCTGGGGCATTTTTCAAATCAAGACACTGCATTATCTTGTTTACAAAACTCCCCTGGAGCCAAGAAATAATTTGGCCTGTGAATCATCCTACATACACCTGTGCTAGTATCACCAATCCAAACCAAATGCCTATCAAGCTATTCAAGCTTATTTTTTTGATAAATTCTATCCTCTGTAATTTGCTGTGGAGCCTTCAGAAAGTCATGTACTCATGTGATTTGAGAAACTCTCAATTTTCCCTTGGATCAGTTGAATTGATTTATAAAAAATCCACCTTTTTGCTCAAACTGTCAGAGTCGTTGAAAACTTGCAGTATCCAGACTCAAAGTTTACAGGACACAGGAGTTTTTCAAGCAATGTTTTGATGAATTTCTTGGGGGTAAGGGTATATCTAGAGAAAACCCATGTATGTAGAATGATTCACAGAACAATTTGTTTCTTGGCTCTGGGGGATTTTTGTAAGCAAGATAATGCAGTGTGTTAGTTTGAAAAATGCTCCAGCCAAAGGTCCACAGGCTCACACACCAAATTTTGTGGATAAGCTATAGATCCCTCTCTTGACTACTTGTTTGTTCAAGAGGGACTTAGTTAGGTTAGGCATTAGGGGTAAGTCCTCAAATGGATGAAGCACAAGATTGGACTTAGTTAAGTTGAAGTTTTGGTCAGGTTTTCAGACTAAAGTGACAGACTTTTCCCCGCAGTGCATGTGACATTAATTGGCTAAAACTTATGTCATACATAGTAGGAGTGTTCAAACCTGAAAAGTTGTGATTTGAAACAAGATTTGGAAGCAAGGATTTGGAACTTTGATGCTTGTACAGAGCTGTACAAGAATCATACTTACAGTCGTCTCTCCAAAACCCCATACCGTTTTATGGACTCCAAAATGTATGGGTTTTGATGGAGTATGTCTTATTGGGATCTCTCTGATAACCCATAAATCCTATTCTGGGGGCAAAATATGGGTTAGCAGAGAGAATTTGTTTAAAAAACAAATTTCATTTCAAAGGTACATCATTGCTGGGGCCAGACTGGCTCACAATTCACATGCTGTGGTGATATTTTGGCCCCAAGGGTGTTGCATACTTTCTGTGTCTACTTGTGGGACTTCAAATTTGGAACACACTGTGCTCACGCTAGCACGTGTTTTTGCCCACACACCCCGCTGAGCCTCTGGAAATGGCAAATTCACAGCAACTGAAACTCGCAGTGGTGCTGAGCACACAACTTTGCTGAGCAAACCAAACTGTGATGTGCCCTGCCACATAATTTTGCAGATATGGCCAAAGTATAGAACAGACTTTTGCGGAACCACTGGTTTTGTCAAGAAAACACATGTGACCAAGCAGGCAGCAGCAGTGAGGAGTTGGACCAATAAAATTGGCCGTCTGTCAAGCAGAACACCAAGTTTTGCAAAAAAACACGCCAAGAAAGAGAATTCTAATTCTCTGTACCTCAGAAACAAATGGATGGTCAATTGCAGCCACCTCAAACCTATTACCCATCTCAATGCCTGCCTCCAATGCTCACTTGCAAGCCTTTCCCAGCCAATCATCATCATGGCAAGCACCATTCTTACAATCACATGGGTAATGAGCGTCTCAACAGCCCTATGATTGGCTTTTATGGCTCCCAATCTCTCCCTTCACCTCATGTTCCTCACAAACAGTTTCATTCAACAACTTATTATCACTTCAGTCCTGCTTTGCTATTGCCTCATTACAGTCCACCATACAGTCAGCCTAACCCTCACAATGCCTCATCTTTCATGTTACCCCCGGAACAACCTCACCTATGTGGCTGTGATGTTGGCCACTTCCCCAGTCATGCCTCAATGTACTCACAATAGTAAATTGGATAAGACACCACATAAGACTCCTCTCAAGGCCTTCGTTCCAAAAAGTGAAGAGGCCCATTGCATATGAGCCAAGCAAAAGAATGAGTATGGTGTATCACACTGCAAATATAATGTGTTTCTCTGAGGTGAACAACCATTGAACTTGATGCACAAAATGATTAATAATCCAGATTTAGTGCACTTTTAATGCACTTTTAATCATTTTGTAAATTAAACATAATCATTTTTCACCTTGGAGAAACACAGTATATTCACAGTTTCAGGGTTTGATATGCTCACTCAGTGGGTCCTTGTTCCCAGAAACTACAATAGATGGTGAGCCAAAGGCTCCAGGAAAACAGATATTTCAGAAGAGATTCATCAAACCTTGGTGGACCAGGGGATCATTGGGACAAACACTGGCGGTGTGTACCAAAAGGTGTGATCAATTTTTGATTGTCCTTATCTTTAGGGGTCATCTCCAGTTTTCTGATGTTTTTATTTTCAATCTCAATACATGCTACATGCATAATATCTGAGATGACACTTAGCTTCATACATTGGAGCACAAATATGGAGCTGATCTCAAGGTGACAAAGAAGACTGGTGGTGGGCTCAATGGGTTCTCAGGCAAGAAGGCATTCTCAGGTCAGTGAGGTGCTCATACAAACCAGGCCAATTTGATCTGGCTGGGTTCTTGATGTTGTGTATGTATGTTGAGCAAGTCAAAGCAATATACCCCCACTTCTATGATTTGGACGTGTTCATGGGTGATCAGCCTTCAGAAACCCCACTTGATCAACTTGAGTCTTTGAGTGATCTCAACACCAAGGCTTGTATGGATGCTCTTGGGCTCACCAGCTCACAGGCAAGTGTGGGTACCTCACAAGTTCACAAAGAGATCATGGACCTGGAGGACAACAACACAACCTCAGATGTTGGATATACCAATGATTCTTTTGACTTAGCACCTCAAATGATCCACTCAGCACTGACACAACCAGTCAACCAAGCCAACCACCCCAGAAAAACTAATAATCCCAAGTGCTTCCAAGAGTCTTTGGTTGGAGGAGAAGAAGAGTCTTCCAACTCTTCATCCAGCCCTTTTGGTTCCAAAAAGGCCTGTGCTCTGTGTCATGGTACTTTCTTAAAATCTTTAGGATTCAATGACAAGCCTGACACCAGTCCCAATAATCACAAACTTGGCTTGGTTACTGAGCAGCTAATCAAATTCCAAGACACCAACTCCAAACAACGCAAGCGCACGCTAGACTTGCAAAGCGATGTGATTAAGGGTCAAGTCTCCATCAGGGAAACAATTGCTGGTGCAATGCTTGAGATGACCAATGTTCTCAAGGTCATGACTAATCCTCCAAAGGACAAAACAACTCAAGAATTAGATATTTTAAGGCTTGACCTTGAGAAATCTGACTATGAGTATTGCCTTGCAAACCAGAGGGCGGAAATTTTGGACCTTGAGCTCAAACAAAAAGCCAAATTGATTGAGCATTTTGAAAAATCTGGTAAGTCTTTCAGCAAAGCAAAAGAAATTGCTGATCAAATGATGGAAGAATAAAAGCAAAGTAAATCATCATCTGAACCATTCTTCATTCATTGAGATGCTTGTATTCACATCTTCTGCACTGTTACAGGAAAGGGTCGTTTGGCTCATTTGATTTAGTCATAAGTACACCGGACTCCACCAGCATATTGATCAATTACTTACAAAAGGCTGGTCTTGTTACACATGTATGTAACCAGGGTTCCAAAAAAGTAAACAGATATTTTTGGTCACAAATAAAAAGTGGAAGTGTATTTTGAGATATATATTTCTCTATTTGAGTGTATAAGCTATAGAAATGGGTAACTTGTATCACCCAAATGAGAGACATGAAATTGTGTATTTGCTTTAAAGTAAAGGAACATGTAAGGCCCTTGTGAGGTAGATTAAATGGAATATACACTAAACCTCAGTTTGCAAACAAATTGTTTGAAGGCCTTGGAGGTCATACATTTGCATAAAATGGGATGTTTCTGAGTTTGACCTCAGAAGATATGTGCTCAGTGGGTTCTTTTTTGAGTAAGAGGTAAATCACTTGTTGCATGCCTTTGGTCACATGTGACTGGATCATGACCCTTTGTGTTAGAATTGGGTTTTCTAACCATGACAGATGTGCGCCTACATATCCAAGAAGAGAAAAAAGTGCCAACCACCTTGCGTCAACATGAAGTAGGTCTTTGAAGCTGAAACATACTGGGATTAAAGGGGTTGTCCTTGGTGCTCAAGTAGTACATCAAGACACCTAATGCCCACCAATCCACATACATACCATAGTCACCGCCTTCTAGAATCTCTGGTGCCCAATCTTCACAGGGGCAATAATCCCCAGAAGTCAGACCATTGACATCCAGTATAGTTATTGGATGGAAGTTGACAAGTTTGATTATGGATCCTGGCATCAACAGGATGCCTACAAGATCAAGGGATCAAACAATGGCTGAATTGGCATGTAGGTAACCCAAGGCTCCTACAATCTGCACAGCACAGTGGCTGATTTCTTCTTCAGAGAACTCCTTGATGTTTAGATGCGCCTCAAGGGAGGTGATTTGAGGATCATAGTCAAAGACAAAGTGGAGTTGATTCGGATTAACCATATGACCAACAAAGGTAACTATGGCAGGGTGATTAAGCTGAGGTAATAAATTGATTAAATCATTCAATATGGGAGCCATTGATCTAGATTGTTGGGTGCACACATCAGTTTTCATAGCTACAGCCAGCCCATCTGACTTCCTTTGCACCTGACTAATTTGATCATAACCAAAGATGCAAAAGTGCTGGATTTGATCAAAGTCGTGAAACATTACAGTCAATGGTGGATTTTTTTTGCTCAATGTTGCCCAGGTGTGAATGAAATAGGGGTCTGTTCTGGGCCTTCTTGGATGCAGGGCCCCCTGGTTTGTATCTGACTGCCTTCAAAAGTCCATCACAGATCCTACACTTGGTGAAAGGGCTAATGTTTTCATTTGAATTATGATGATTCCAAGATTATGTAGAATGATTCAAGAATTATAGAACCACAGAATTTGAGCAATATGGGGCTATTTGATGACTGCGCAAGACAATGGGCTTATCTTTCCCTTTGCTCACTCATGGTAAATGCAAGAATCAGGGTCTGAGCCCCATGCGCTTGTGATTTCATAGTTCATGGGGCATGCATATGTCAGTATGTGTTTCTCATCAAATTGATGATAAAATAGATGCAAAGGCCAAGGTGTCATATCAGTCCAATATATCATATTGAGTCAAATCTCAATGATATCAACATTTCAACACCAATCAAACCAAATTTAAAATCACACCAAAGCTACAAATCTACTGTTGAGACAAAAGTTCATAAAGGGACAACAATCTAGCACATGTGTTGTGTTGATCAAGGACAACATCATGATCATCCTTGTCATGGTGTTTGTCCTGCATTTCATGTGCCGGCAATGCCCTTTGGAACACATTGTCACCTATATCCTGAATGTTGATAAGGAAATTGTGTAGGATACACGTGACTGCTAAAATTAAATTCAGAAACCTTGCCAAATTCAAGCCCTTGATCACTATCCAACACTGAACTAAAGACTGCCAACACATCTTCCATAAGCAATTGGTATCTTTAAAGACATTGCAGAGACAGCTGAGTGCTCTATTGAATGATCATTGCAATCAGGGAACAGGGATCCCACCGGGCTTCTTGAAGTTTGCCACAATGTTTTTTTTCCAAAGGATATCCAGATTCAGCAATTAAGTATTTGCCCTCAACAAAGAATCACTTTGGGAATTGAGATAAGTGCAAACAAAAGGGCATGATAATTGTAATCTTAGTGTTACAGTTGACTCATCAGCTGACACAATCAAATTGGTGACTTGCCTCTGAGTTTCTATATACACCTGCATCATGTCAATGAGCACCGCCGCACCAGCCTTGACTTGCATATATAATGCACTTTTGATGATCACAGACAAGCATGGAGTTGACGGCATAGCAGGATTTATGAGTTTGGAAGTCCTCCATATTCTTCTCTGGTCCGGTAATCAAAGTGATCAGGGTGCTGTCAATGAGTTCAAAACAGTCTTTGAAAAAGCTTTGCTGGCCTATCTCATGTTTGATGATGTTGTGTTCCTCCTGGTTTGGCCATTTAAAGTACCAATCACAAAGGGTAAGGATTGCTATTACACATCAATGGGTGTAATTATAAATACTCCCCTCTATATATGTCCAGGAAAACAATCAATGACCCAATTAAACATGGAAATCATCATAATTCTCACCTGAAACTACAAAGCCTAGTGCAAGAAAAGCTGGACGGGCCCCATTCCCGGTCAGACCTATATATGCCAAAGCCAAAGCCACTAGGAGTTGCCATTCAGGTGGAGATTGCGCCATGGATGATTGATTTGCAAACTTTGGATGGTCTCCAATCAAGTGCAGCAGATGAATAATAAGATAATAGAAAAAACATGTTGCGCTCGCGGCGAGCTACCACTGGTAGCTATGCAGTAGCGGTTCGAGGGTAAAGCTTTGACGAGGATTCAGCAGGGCATCTCTACGCCAGATGGCCAGTGCGGACGGTACACTCTTAGGCGCCGGGGTGATGTCCCCGTTGGTCTTAAAGACATCTTATGAGTCGAAGGAGGTGGTTGACAGAGAATACTCTGTTCCATCCCCGTCGCTGCTTTCCCTTTCCCCATTCCTGGCCCCTTTCCCAAAGGACCGGCACAGAATATTTCACCGGTGAGCAAACGAGCACCTGCAAACGAGCGCAAACGTCTCACGCTCCCGTCGCGACGATGGCGCGAGTGTGGGACTTTTTCAAAGACTAGGGCACAGCCCTCAAGTTGATTCCGCGAGCACCCGAGCACACCCGAGTTGACGTTGTGAACCAAGAGGACGTGTGCATGATGACGTTTGGAAAGGTTTGGAACCCCTTTTTTACCTTCAAGTGGTCCCCTTGACAGTTCACAAATGGAATACTCATTCGTGACGTTTCTATGGTCAGAAAGAATTCCTCAAGGTTCAAGTCTGTTCAAGTACCAAGGTAACTTTGATCTTGGGATCAATGGAATTCTGTCACCGAGCCGGAGTGTGCATCAAGTGACAGAATTTCCCTCCAGGTGTTAGTGAACCTCTACAGGCCCCCGACCATCTTCGCACACGCGCTGTTGTTGATTATTGTTATGTACTATGTACAAATTAGGTACTCACACCACTCATAAACTTTCTCGTAGATTATGCAGAACAAAAAATCGTATACAACACTCATCGTAGCCTGTGGGACTTTGTTGAGGTTAATCGTAGCCGTGCGAGGCCTCTTTTGCATAGCCTTGTCTGAAGTTCTAGGTGGAACTGAAGATATAAAAGGGAGCCTCTGGACTGTGATTTTGTAACCCCATCCACCTGATCATCCAATCAATCAAATCCATTAGATAAATCTTTTTTTACGAAACTCTACGAATTACGAAAAATCTTCATCATGAATTTTGCCTTCATCATCCTATCTGTTTTGGTCTCTTTACAAGCTATCATGACTTTACCTACTAAGCTTATGCCTCGTACTGAAAGCCAAGTTGGCAAGGGTGGAAGAATTGATCAAAGATGCGCTGGCTTCTATAACGGTGGTTATGTGCCGGGCTTTGCCTACAATAATCAGGGGATTCTCACTGTTCCATTTACTTCACAGTTCTACTACTCAATCAATCAGAACTACGGATATTCCAATTGTAACAATTACGGGCAAGTGGTTTGGGGCCAGTGCTCCTACGCGGGCCAATGTCCCAACTCGTACCACCACTACACGGGTCTCTTGACTGGTCTCTTAGGAGGTGTGGGTGACCTCGTGGGCGGTTTAGTGAGCGGTGTTGGTTCTCTTGTGGGAGGAATCGGGAACAGTCTCAGCTTACTTTCGGATCAAGAACTCAAGTCGGTGAGTGTACCTTTCGTGATCCCCTATCCGGGACCACACTCCCAACGAAGTCCTAACTTATCCTCTTGTGCCGTTTGTAGGACACCAATCAGATTTAAATCATGAACTCATGAAATCCCTCACACCCCGAAATGTTAATGGTACGTCTTCTCATAATAATTGACTGTCCTTTCACCCTGAATCTAACACATTTCAAACCATCCCATCATGAATTGCTTTCCGCCATCAATTTCAGAGACTCGCTTTAGGTTATTTGTGACTGGATAATTGTTGTCAAGATTTCATTGTCGTACTTCAGCTTAATCCATTTTAACGTACAATCAGTTTTTCTCCTTTTTCTTACGCCATCAACTCAATCTAACTAGAGACCGCTTTTAGTTATTTGTGATTGAGTAATTGTTGTCAAAGTTTCGTTGTCATTCAGCTTAATAAAATTTAACGCCCGGTCAGATTTTCTCCTTTACTTAAATAAGCCCCTCACGACACGTAGTTAAGCTACTGCTATGATAAGAGCCAAAATGCCTTCATGCGCAATCTACAAGAGCCAGCAAACATCTGTCACCAGCGTAGGCCCATATTGATGTTATCTCTGTATCTCGATGCCCTCTCCTCGACGATCCTTTCACTTGCTTTGCCCAGGTCCTGCTTCACACCAAGAGAAGCATATACCTGGGAGACACGATACTTGCGTAGGGAAAGCTGTGCTTAGGTTTCTTGTATGTTTCTGATCGGATCCATTACCTCTTTGTATCTCGGAGTGTGGGATATCTTATCTTGATCAGTGTTATACACCGTGTGCAGAGAAGTAAAGTCACGACCAGCATTATGCCGGTAATTGAAGAATTGCGATGTATCATCATGTAGTCAGAGACACGATCAAAGGATCAAAACTGTTTCGATACATTCTCAATTATTATTACAATCATAAACAGTAAAACTGAAGTCACAAATTAAATGCTTCCAGGGTTCAAGGAGGACCAAACGGTGAATTGAAACTATCAATCAATCTATTGACTTTCTTTTCACCTAATCCAGCACATCTCAACAGATCAGCCTGACTCGCTTCGGTGATATTACGAAAAGACTAGACCAAGAGATATATGTGAGCGTACTTTTCAAGATGAAGGAAAACTGGGGAACGAAAGCTTACCCCAAAAGAAGAAGCTAAAGTGAGCACATCGGTTTTGTTGAGACCATTCACAGTCGTCAAAACGCTTGAGAGTTGAGCAAGATAAGTATTGTCGGATCGTTCTTTAATCAAATCAGGTGGTTTGCGTTCAAATGATTTGAAGAGTTGGATGTATCTTGCAGCCTCTGCATTAGACCAAGCGAGAAAAACAGTGAGCTGATTGGTAACTGATACCTAAATCATTACGTAAGAGTTCAGTCAGTATGGAAAAACTTTATAAAAGTAAACTAGACGGATAGACCTCACCTTTGTGATCTCACGAATCGATAGCTCGTGATCTTCAACATCGCATAAGATCAACAAGATACGAAGGTTGTAACTTTGACCGAGTTTCCCAATCCTTGTATGAATATATTCAGGGTGAAGCTTGTGATACCTCAGTGAGAGGAAAAGAAGGCCGGTGGTTAATCCAACTTGATAGTCACATACTATATCACCATGCTCCCATGGTACAGATTGCAAAAGATTGAGAATTGGATTTCCTTTCTGTCTTGCAAAACGATCAAGAACACATCATCATCAGTCGCGATGATGGTATTTCAGGTTTCAACCTTTCAAGGATATATAGATAGTGATATGATTTACTTGACATTTGTTTACGACGATTGTATGTGAACCGACAGGACGTCTGTTTGCTTGAGGAATCGGTCTAGGATTCGATGTTGAAGGTCCTGAGCCTGCTGGGTTGGTAGCGCTCATGTTGATTTCTTTGATAATGTGATCATCTCAAAAGTTCGGGTCCAACTTCAGGGTGAGTTCGTGGGGATCCGACCCGGTTGAGTGAGGGTGCCATGGTCGGATCGGTTCAAGTTCAGATTGAGTTCGTGTGTTGCTTTTAAAATTTTAATCCCAGTGTTCATTTGTATTTTCATTGTATCCTTATTCTAGCTTTTCTAACTTTATAAACTTACCATTCCATTCAGATCCGATGGTCAAACGCGCTGCTGAGAAAGAGCTGACTGATAGGTAAGCACACCATCTTATTCAGTCAGACGCAGTGATACCAAGTATAAATTGCTTACTGATGGTCTTACTATGAACATCAGGAATTGGCAGGACCGAGAGGATGGTGAAGTGGTAAGCTTCTAATAAGACTCCAATCCCTTGACCCCTCTGATTTGTATTTTTGACCTATATTTCAGCTTGAGGAGGGCCCCATGAAGGTAGCGGCCCCTCAGGTTATCGAGAGGCGTCAGTAAGTTAAAAACCATCTTTTTTTGTTAAATTCACGAGCTACGACTGATTCCTGATGCCCCAACAACAGGATCAAACGTCTTCCCAAAGCCAAGGCTGCTGCTTCTTCAGTGAGTCTTTTAAGAGTAGCGTTTGAAACAGCTCAATCTCATTGCTAATGGAACATCTCATCTCAAACCCAGCCCTCGATCTCTCCTGCGCCTTCAGCTTCAGCCTTCGGTTCTAGCGCCACTCGTAATCCATTTGCAACCTTGAACCCCCCCACCTCTTCGAGTCCATTCAGTTTTGATAGCACTGCTCCAGCTAACAAGGCTTCAAGTCTGTTCGGCAATACTCCTCCTACTACCACCAGCTTGTTCGGTAGTTCGTCGACCCCGTCTACATCCTTATTTGGCGCAAAAAATGTTCATAACTCCACTACCGAGTCTTCAAGCACCGGAACGAATCCGAGCAGCTTATTCAATAATTCCAACACCTCCATCTTCGGATCAAAGCTCGATAATCAAATCTCAACTCCAAGCGTCAAGCCATCGACTCAGGCGCTCACCACCTACTACGCCGCATTACGCGGTCTTAATTTATCGGCAGTCTCTGCCCTAGAGCGAGTGAACAATGCCGATGCATTTGAGAATCTCGATCAGGTTCTCGAGCGACTCAGAATTGCTTACAACAAGCAACGAGAAACCATTGTCAAAGATTTCGAAGCTCAGGGTGGCAGTCCAGCCGACTCGAATAGCACTAAGAATACAAAGACCTCTAATGAAGCCAGCAATAAGAATACACAAAGCTCGGTCTTCTCCGTTTCAAATCTGTTTACTAATCAGCCCCCACCTCCTAAAGACTCCGATATAGACCCAACACGTGAAGAAGTGCCCAAAGTGGGCCAATCCAGCCAAAGCTTGTCAACAAATTCATGTACGTATGCACTTGGAGTTTGTTTCCCTACGTGTTCAGTTTTATCATTTGATCAATTATCTGACTCAATTCTTCCTCCTTGGCCTTTCTAAAGCTGGCGTGAAAAAGGTTGAAGTTAGCACTAGTACCGGAGCTGCCGCTAGTCATAAGGCGAGCTCAAGACCAGGTGCATTTTCTACGGCTGCACCGGCTCGCCCATCCCCTCTTCGCTACGAGACGGAACAAGACGTATCTGATCCGCAATCATCTGTCAACAAAGAAGTCCCAACTGAACCTAAACAGACATTTACACCCTCTTTTGCAACAACCTCTGCTGCTCCGTCCAGTTCACTTTTTAGCTTCAAACCCCAAGGCGATGTCGGATCTGTGACCACCACCAAGAGTGACCCCACTCTCCCCACAACGACATCTTTTTCTGCAAGCTCAGCCTTCTCCACTTCCAACAGTTCACTTTCCGCATTTGGTGGCCAATCTACTCTATCAAATCCCTCGACCAGCCATACCTCTCTCTTTGGCTCCGCGCCTACTAATCCTCTAGCTGCCACACCTGCGAAACCATCCTTTGAATTCGGGCGTGGTATGTCAGGAAGTCCAGGTAGCAATCCTGTCGGTTTCAGCGGGTTCGGTTCCGCTAAGCTCTCACAGCTCACTCCACCCAAATCAACTGGCTTCAATCCGGTCGGCTTCTCATTTGGAGCAACAGTCAGTCCACCAGTATCGACCACAAAAGACGAATCACCCAAGCCCGTTGCTGCTGTATCTGTGGCATCCAATGACTCTTTACCAGCTTCAAAAGCGTCTGATGGAGTGACAACAGAAAGTGGAGGATCGACAGAAAGTGGTTCTTTTGCTGATTCAGCAACTGATAAAAATGAAGAAGCAGAAGATACTTTGTTAGAGACCTCCGGTCGAGTCTATGGTTTCATTGATAAGCGTCAAGAAGATGGAAGTATGAAGAAGCAATGGGTAGGTTTTGCAATGTCTACCATCAAAATTAATAAACATCGTGAAACGTCGAAGACTCGTATACTGGCTCGTAGTCAGACTAACACTAAAATTCTTGTGGTATGTCTCCGATTTTTTCTTTGTCTCTTTCCACTTCTTTTTTGAAGGGTTTTTTTCTGATTGATCTGTGTTGATGAACGAAATGTGTAGAATTTCAACATTCATAAAGAATTAAAACCTACGGTTAATAAAACGGCAATCACGTTCGTAGGATTCGAAGGTTCTAAACCTCAATCTTATATGATTAGATTAGGAACCGAACAGATGGCAAAAGAATTAAACAACAAGATCAGCGAGGTAGTAGAAGGACTTTAAAAATAAAAATAAAACGAAAAAAGTTACATTTAAATTTTAATAGCACTTAGAAAATCAACTAATTAATACTTTACCCTCTCTTGAGGATTTAGACCAAAAACAATAGAAAATCGATTGGGAAAAAGGCGGAGTTGTAAATATAAAAAATCTCTGTCAATATTTAATTCATACTCTCCACTGTATAGATTTCAATTTACATATACGATAAACAGCAATTACAGTGGCAAGGTAAGTAGATATTCTCACCATTAGATGTAGAGGTGTCTATGATGCTAGAAAAGTAGCCATCTCCATAATCTTTGACTTGTGAAGTCAAATACCTAATACAATAAATCAGTCCAAGTATGAATATATTTTTGAAGTGTAGTAAGCAATATGATGTAATCAGATGCTTTACTGGATGTATGTGGTGACTGGAATACTTGAAGGTAACAGGCCCTTGACTGTTGTCAGTACATTTCCAGTCTGGTTGGCTTGCAGAAAATCATTGTTGTGAACATGAATGTCATCATCTCAAGACACAATATGAATTAAATAGAAAAACCTGAAGATCTCCTTCATATTCAAGCTTACAAAGTGAAGTTGTTCTACATGATTGATTTGATGGCCAGTGTTTATGATCAGAGTATGTTCCAGCCTGGGGCCCACCACACATAGAACCTATTGTGGCAGGCAGTCTAGAACCACTCACCAGATCTTAAATTTGTAATAAAAGGCTGTGCAATAAGCTACACCACAAGGATAGACATACATCACTGACCAAGTCAAAGTAAACTACAAGAATAGGTTGGACAAGCAAGGGTGTCATGATACTACTACTATTATAATACACTGTTGTTAGTATGTACTGCAGTCTATTACTGTACTTGACAAAATACCAGTATGGGAGTATACTACATATATAGCCAAGTAAATAATAGACTTGGAAACATTAGGGCCCATTTTGGCAAACTTTGTAAAGCAGTATATTATGTTATGGACCAGCAAAGCCAGAAACTCTTGTTTGTTCAAAATCTTCCATGGATTTCAAAAAGAGGTAATGTTGTGCAACAATAAATGATCATTAAAACAAATCATATATCATGATATATTTGAAAGGCTTTTTATCAGACAAAAAACACTTTTTGCTCCTCCTCTGTTGATTGAACTTTCCAATTCAATAAACTTTTTAACTTCACCCGGCACTCTTTTGACATTGTCCTTTTACCTCCTTCCCACTCCTTCTGTGGGATGTGTCAGTCTGCAGTGTGGAACAACAGCCCTGTATCATGCTTTGTTACTCTCAGGTAGTGTTTATGGGAACCGCACCGGACAGAGACTGGGCGTGTGGTATTGGCATGAAGAGGACACCCCTTTTCCGCCCGCCTAGGATGAGAAGAGAAGCAAGGAAACAAGCCTCCGGTAATGTGTCATAGAGTGGTGAAGGGGTCAAAGGAAAAGAAAGGGGGGTGTCCTTGTATAGGCAAACTGGCTTACCATCAATCAAAAATCACTTGTGCCCCAATGTGACCTGTTAGTGACAGTGGGTGAGCCTTGGTGGCAGTGAGTCTCATGATTGGGTGGCTGTGGACGTAGGTCTTGAACGCCTCCAACAACCACCTACCCATGTCCTGAATGTGATCGAGCGGCAGACCTGCTTGTGCGTATGCTGTAGCCCCCCCGGATTGCATGGAATGTCCAAATTTATTGGTGCCAAAAAAGCAACAAAACTTTTGTGAGAACCAGCTGTGAGTTGGGGATTTTCCTTTGACGGTTAGGAAGAGTGGTTTGACATTTGTAAACCAAGCATCTCAGCAAAGCAGGTATTGGTTTAGGGCGGCGATGGGACAGGCTCCTTGCACTACACACGAGGTTAAGATGATGGTTCTTCCTTGAAAAAACGGGTCAGTTTTTGAATGCAGCAAAAGATATTTTGCAAACCTGCCGCATCTTGAGAAGGAAAAAGACAATTGCTTGATCAACTTTCTGTTGTTTCTATGTGAGACTGTGTCTGGGGACGTGATTTCTCCAAGGCGATGTAACACGTGAAAACCTACGGTGATCATTACAGTGTCATTTTACTGCTCACTGGCAGGCCAGTGAGTACGTCCAGCTCAATCCAATCTCAAATCCATGTCAGTTCAATATCAATCCAACCTCAATGTTTGGCCTAGAGTAGCAGACAAACAACCTTCCAGAATGAACTAGAATAAAGTTTGGTTGCATGTCCACACATGAAGGTGTCAGAATGTCTGCAAGGTTTGAGAGATTATGCAGCCCATGCATACCCCCTACTCAAACATAATTGGACGTCAAACTGATATTGAACTGAAATTGAATTGAGATTGGATTGAGGTGAATGGAACTCACTGGCCTGCCAGTGACTAGTAAAATTACACTGTGCATAGTGGTGAAGAGGACCTTGTCAAAGGAGAAAGAGGAATGTTTGTGAACTGTGATGAGGTCTGGTAGCGTGAGGGGGTCCTTCCTGACGATTGGTACAGATAGTTGGATTTTTACGCCTCGTAGCACTTTCCTGACACGGGGTGAGTTGGTGACTAAACGTATTTCTGGGTAGATACGTTTGTAAGCTGCCGCCATGGCGGATAAGTAGCCTTGAACAGATGTAGGAGCTAGTGGTTTGTTGGTGTGTGGTGAGATGTGCCTACACGTTGCTGAGACATACACGCAGATGGTGTCAACTGTTGGAATAGCAGGGATTTTTTCTTGAATGCAAAATTTCAAGAATGAAGTTAGGCCTGATAGGTATGAAGCTTTGGTAGAGTGAGCGAGACTGTGTGCGGCCTCAGCTTGCACTAGTAACTTGAGAAACTGACACCTGTTGGGTGGTGGGATATCCATTCTTCAGCAACAGTACACTTCATTGGGGAATAAGTTGGGTTCAGGTATTGGGAGCAGTATGGCTTGGGGTTCTAGTCGCAGGACATCGTCAGTTTCCCCCTCAAGAGGGTGTCTGCGCAGACATTCTTGAAGCCTGGTATGTGTGCGACTTTCACATCTGCGTCTGCTTCTACCACAATATGTACCAGCTTCCTGAAGATCGGTCGAACTAGGGGGATTGGGCTGTGAGATTGAAAGAGATTGCATGTGTTCATCGAATCTGAGCAGATGAGGATTTGTCTTGCTCCTTTAGAGAGTGTCAATGCAATAGCGAGAGCTACTGCTTGCAACTCCATCCAGTAGATATCCTGTGAGGGAGCTGGCACAACAGTGTGGAAGCCTTCCCTTGTGTTGGGCAACCATATCCCCAGGCCCGTGGGGCACGCGTCTGTGACCAACAAGGCGTCTGCTTGGTTGATAGGCCATCAAGAGGAGTGAATAAACAATTGACTGGGTGAGTGTTTGATTGATGATGCTAACCATCTGAAATCTTCTTGTATCTCTTTGTTCACGTGTATCTTTGCAAAACGGTGGGTTCTGTTGGTTAGCTTGTCCCATGCTGACTGAAGAGCGTAGCAACCATATGGGAAGGCTTTGAGTCTCCAAGAAGCCCAGCCCAATATCCTCTGCCAGTCCTTCAAGCGGTGACTGGGGCTGGTAGTGAACAACCGTAAAGCTTGGACAAGGTCGGATTTTTTTTCAGGTGTGAGCAAGAATGATAAATCTTCTGCGTTGACGTAGTGACCAATGATTTCAAGGTGTGGGCCCGACAGCTGTTTCTTCCATTCCCAGGGCATATTGATCGTGTCAAATAATAGGAGCAGAAGGGCTTGGTTGAGCGGCATATTGTTGTCCTTGTATGTTGTCATGGAGCTTGAGTGCTATGCCCCAGGTGTCGTCCATCAGGTTGTTGATCCTTTTGACACCTAGTTTAAAACAGAACACCAAATTTTAGGGGACACTGCTGATCCAAAGTTGCTGCAACGGTTGGCGTGGTACAAACCTTCAACACACACAATCTGCCTGATTTGCCATTGAAGGGCCATTGGTAGATTTCGGTAAGTGCGTGCTACATTGCTTTTCCATAGTAGGAGAGCACTGCTGCCCGGTTTGATGTCCGCCATGTACGGACCTAATGAAACAAGAGAGTCGTAGACAACCTTTTCTTGCTGCTTGTCAATCAAGTTGTTGAGAGCTGGGGATACAAAACTCATGTCGGTGCAGACCCTGAGTTTTGAAGATCCTGCTTTCTCTACCACCAGTAGTGGAGAAACCTTCATCCCGGGTAGTAGGTGATAGAAGGGTTGTGAGTACCTATCACCTGCAAGCTCTTTGTTGTGTGATGCTGCTAAGGCTCATGGGTGTTGATCACACACCTTGTGATTTGCGTGGTGTGCTATGGCGTTATCTGGTAACTCTGTGAATGGCCAGAAACCATACTTCAGGCCTAACATCACCAAACCTACAAACGGGCGGTTCTGGTGGTCTTTGAGGAGATGGTCAAAGATGGGTATGTCAACGGGGCATACTATTTTGAAAGTGTCTGGATATTGTTTGATCACGTATTCCGCGCATGGATCCTCAGAGAGCGGTGGGGGTCGTGGCAATGGGGGTGCGTGTAGGCTGGATTGGAGGGTGTTGGAGAAGCCCTTTTGGGACGTCCAATCCCATTCCAAGCCTCTGCAAAAATTTTGTAATGTGTAGTTGGTTTTGTCTTGGCTGTGGTTATATGGAGAATGACAGGACACGCAAAGAGGAGACATTAGTGTTGTGTCCCTTAAATATTGGTGGATTTTGGAGGTAGTGCGTAGAAGGGTTTGCACCATGCTTGTGGTAGTTGTAAGCGTATGAGGGAACATAAACCCTTTTCGCAATGTGTTTTCTTTCTTTCTCTCTTTTTTTTTACTTACTTTGAAAGCATGGCCCCGCATCTTGTAGAACATAATCTTTGATGAAGGCTGATGAGCTCTCAGGTAGAGCCGTAGTGTTGTTTTCTCGCATGTGACAAGTGGCATTCAACAACATCGCAGACGTTGCGAATCCTTCCGCTTTTGCAGGGGTCGCTGCAAACACCGATGTTCCAATTGCCGCATATTTGCATGTTGACCGGTGCCCCCTTTTGAACTGGATGTAGGAAAGGATCATGGAAAGAAGGGTGGTTTGTGAGCTTGAAATGCTACTTAGGTTGTTGAGCCCTATCTTGTTAGATAGTCAAATGGCTTACTTGGTTTGATATTGCCATGCCAAGGAGCCCTAGGTGTAGGAGCTGATAGAGACTTTCGCTTGGGAGAATTGCCAAAATCCCTGGATGGGCGCCCGCTGGATGCGGCGTGAGGAGAGGGGTTTGTGGGACCGTAGTGGGTCTGGCTGAAGGGGTTGTTGAAGGTGGGTTGGGAGAAGGAGGAGTAGGACTGGTAGTGGGTCCGTGGCCTGCTGGCGTTCCCTGTAGCTCCGGTTCAAACAGCAAGGAGTTCTGGGCTGTCAAAATCGCCAAAGGACAGTGTAGGTCTGGTTGCAAACACGATCCTGAGCTGTGCATCGTAGTCAATGATCTGGGACCAATTGCCCTGGTCTGCAAAGACGAGCAGCATGTTGTAGATGTGGTTGACATAATTTCTGATGTCTTCTTCTGTGCACGGGAACGCAAACACAATGGCTTTTGTGGTGAGTGCAAAGACCCGTCTCCAGTCGTGTTCTGCTGGGAAAAGGTGGCGGGTGGAGACAAAAGCATCTGTGGGCCTCGGGATCTTCTTACCATCGTACTCATCTGTTTGTAGAACCTTTGCTGTGCAGATATAAAAACCCCTCAGGAGAGGGGGGACAAGAGAAAGTGGGAAACCAATGGGGCGGTTTGGTTTGGGGTTGAAACGGTTGACGGATACCTTCCATCCGGCTTTCTCTTACTTGCAACAGCGTCTGAGACAGCTTTTGCCTGAGTTGGTAAAGGTCCCGTAAGCCGGTTCTTACCTTCCGTGAATGGCAGGTTGTTGGCTGCCTCTGAGTCACCACTGGAGGAAGATGAGGATGAACTACTGGAGGAGTCGCTTTCTTCATGTTTTTGCTTCTTTTTCTTGGAAGATTGTTTGTCTTTCTTTCGTTTTCTCTTCTTCTTGGGAGTGTCTGAGCCTTGAATCAAAGCAAGGAGGTTGTCTGCGTTGAGTCCCAGGGGGTTCGGGCCGACTTGCTGGTGGTCTTGGGGCTGTAATGCTTGGAATGCGTGTCTGCAGCTGCAGTGCCTGCTGGGTCAAGCTCCTGGTGCTGGTCTGGGTTGTGTAACTGGTCGTATAAGTTGTTGATGGGTGGCAAGCAAAAACCTGGTTGGGCTTGAGCAGGTTGTCTGGCTGGTGCTGGATGCCGAGGTTGAAAATTGGCAAACATGTCGAGGTGCAAGATGACCGGGGGGGTGTTCCACCGGGAGACCGGCGGCTGGGATGACACCTCCCAGCTGGAACGTGGCGCAACCATGTTGTAAGTCGAGTTCGCGTGCAGATAAGCCAAAATCGGAGAACTTGGGGAGAAACAAGGGGTCTGAGTAGGGTACAATCTCTGCAAACCTGTTGCGGAGACCCCATATGTTGGTGTAAGTGCTACCGCCTTCTTGGTTGTAAGACCAAAGTAGCTCCGCCAATCTTCTCTGAACTGTATTTGCATCTTGGATTCGACAATCTTCAGCGTTGAGGGTTAGCCGGAGGTCCATACACTGGTATCAGATATGCGGGTATTTATGCGGGCTGATCAAAAAGTATTCAGTATGTGTAATACTGCTGCAGTCAAGCACTCGAGTACGTAAATGAAATGACACTAAGCAAGGTTAAGTAGAGTCTTGACAAATACAACCTGAGATGACGTAGGATAGATGACGGTTTTATGAGAACCTGACAAAGCTGTCACAAAAACTCCGATCTTGCTGAGTGCTTAGAGCTGACTGCTGAGGAGGAAGTTTTGCTTGAGCCGCGGCGTTGGGTGTGTCGCTCGGTTTGGAGCGCAAACTGTCCTCCATGCTGGTAAACCTAAGTTCGCGCAACCTGTGGTTGTTTGTACAGTGGGAAGACGGTTTATTAGCATTGTTCTCTAAGCATCGTAAGCTCAGACCAGGTGTTGTAAGACACCCTTGTGACATATCCCACTCAATTAATGGGACATCAATCCCAATCCATTACTCAGCTTTTACTTTGCTCTGGTGTTTCATAGCATTCTTTGTTTCTTATTCAAGTTTTCAATTATTGTGCTAATCTTGTACCAGTCATGTCTTTTGATTTTGATTTGTTTCTTTGTGTTCTATACAGTCAGCTGACTATTCAAGTAAACAGACAATTTGTGTAGTTTATGATGGCTATGGACAATGTTTAGAACATTGAGTGATGCTCAGAACATCAAGAATGATTTGAATTTTAAATTGTTATAAGATTGTCATCTTTACCAAACATTGAACCAGTCAACAAGAGGTCAATGAAATTTTGGTTGACCTTTTTGGTCAGCTGTTTGGTAAAGTGTATAACCAAATTCCAGAAAAAAAGCACACTTTTTGCATAAAATTGCCAAACAGGCCCTAAGTCTTTTACAAAACAATATACCACAATCTCTCAGATAATAATACCACACAAGGCAAGATTGATCAAGATTAAGGCAAGAGTGATCAAGATTAAGGCAAGAGTGATCAAGATCAAGGCAAGAGTGATCAAGATCAAGGCAAGAGTGATTGAGATTAAGGCAGCCAAAAGGGTTATTGAGATTGAGGATTTCATATGGATGTGTCCCAATTGAGATGTTTGATGATTGTTTAAAGGATATGAACAAGTTTGAACAGTTGGAGATCTGTTAATGTCTGTTGGTGGTCATATAGAGTGTCATCCATCTTGCCAAAGACTGTCAAGAGAGTTTGATATCAAGTTGTTGATTAATGATTCAAGATCTTCTCCATGCATCTTGAGGTGTACCACAATAGCTTTGATGTTGGCACAGTACTTGAACTAGACCATTGGAAAGGAGGAAGAGAAAATTCTCAATGATCCAATCTAAATTGCCAATATGGATTCAATCCATATGGTAGCTTGCTGTATTTCACCAATTATTGACAGCTACTGTGTCTGCTACAGTGATATTTGGTCATCATTGTGATTTGTATCTTTTATTGTAAAAGCATATGAATTGGCAGTTTTCTTCAGAAATCATGAGGTACTACAAGAGGAGAACTGTGGAAGGAAAATTCAACTGATGAAAATGTTTTTGAAGTGTTTTTGCAGATTTACACAACTAGATAGAAAACCACAAGTTACAACAGGGCAAAAACCAAAAACACATAAACAGACTCTATGTGAATGAAATTTGAATATAACTGAATCTTGAGATGAAGAAATTGAAACCTGTTTTTATGCTGTTGATTGATTGATGAACCCACAACCACTTCTAATGTACAATACATAATCAAGATAAATGAAACAAGTAAAAAAGTAAAAAGATAACAAAAAACAGAAAACATAACCCATTGTTTTTAATAAAAGCTCTACACACAATCTGATTGAGTTAAGATGACCACTAAAGTGTTGTTATATTGTTAAGTTTGTATCACCCTTGTCTGTTTTGAATAATTTGATTGTAAATTCTTGCACCCATTTTTATCATTTGATTTTTGATGATCTAATTGATGATCAAAATCAAGTGATAAAGTTTAATAAAAATCAAATCACAAGCAAAAAAATCAAAATTTATAATAAAGACTGATATTGAATGTTACAATGACTAAAGAAGTACAAAAAAACAAGCACATAATCAAAACAAAACAAACCTCAACTCAATCCAAAAAAAACTGATCACCATGCACGATTTCTCAAGACCCCATCTTTCTCATACACCTAATCAATCATTAATTTCTTCTTTACTTAAAACCACTCTTTCCCACATAAGTCTTCTCAAAGATTTCCCTTCACCTTTTACCTTCATTTCATCCTCTAAACCTTCAAGTTCGTCAACCAAATCAAAATACCCACTATTCATTCCAAACTCATCTCTCTTGGTAACCAATGCTTTGATTTCTTCTAACCTAGGATCAAACTCGATCCAATCTTTTCCAAACTCGTCATCATCCTGTACCACATTCCCTTCCTTCTTACTCTCTTCTAAAGACGAACTTGATGACGATGGATGGCTAGGTAAAACTTCATTTAAGTTTAAGAATGGTGAATACTTTAATCCTTGTTGTAAAGACATCGAATCTAATCTAATCAAATAACTTTCAAACTTAATCGATTTCAACTCAGGCACCTTGACTCCAAACCCATAAACCTTTCTTCCTACTTTCCTTCTTCTTTCTCCTCCCACAATCAATCCGTCTTCCAAAATCATTCTTCTAAGATTCTCTGATTCATATAAACTTTCTCTTCCTTTTATCGGTACTACTATTGATCCAGCTGGATGCGGTTCTTTGGTTGATGGGTTTAAGGAGCCTGATCTCTTGGTTCGTTTTCTGTTCGGCTCTTCTGGAACTTCTGAGACTGATCGATCTTCTTCTTCTTCTGTTTCTTCTTCTGCTTCTCCTTCTGATGACGATTCTGTTTCTACTTTCGCTTGTTTTGTATTCAAAGATACTGTTCCTTTAGGTTTGATCTTGATTTTGGTTTTAGATACTGAAGTCGATGGTTTTGGAATCGGAGCTTTAAGCTTCAAAGAAATATGTAAAGGTCGAGTAACAGGCTCTTCCGATTCGCAAATCTTAGTCTTACTTCTCTTTGACACATTCCGATCTGAAGCTGGTAATTGTCGTTTATGGGTCACTATTGGAGGTGGTGAAGTTGATTGAGGACTATTGACCGGTAAAGTCTCTGATATTGATATTAGTGGTGGAGGTGGTGGTGCTAAGACTTGTCTTGCTTTGATCACTGGCTTTCGTGTATCTAAAAGTTTATCATATCTGTTGGCAAAAAAAACATAAGATCAGTTGAAAAGCAATAGGATTTTTTGTAAGAATCAGATGACTAACCTTTCTAAAGTTTCTTGAGCTTCTTTTACCATGATCCATCTCATCCTTTCAACCTTTTCATTCTCTCTTTCGCCATCATTACCCAAACTAATCTGATGCTGCTGATGATGATTGGTATCTGAAGCCAGATGATTTAAATTCTGATTAATCCTTCTTTCTTCTTCTTTAATTCTTCTCAAAGTAATCGATCTAACCGTCTTCCAATCAATTCCCATTGGATTCTTTAACAAATTCAAATGTGATTTCAACTTAAACCTTTCATGTATCAATTTTTCTTTTTCTAATCGTTTTGATCTTTTTTCTAACATTTCATATGTTTTATGTTTTTTTAAGAAAATTAAATTCGATGCTTGATTTTCATTTTCATTTTCATTTGGTTGACTTTTGATCATTTGAATCGATTCTGATTTATTACGTTTGGATCCTAAAAGTAATTCCGATTCATGAATTAATCTAAAACTAGGTGTTTCCAAAGAACTTGTTGTATCAAGCTGATCAGTTGTAGAAGAAGAATCAGGACATTTCAAATGAGCTAATCTTAAAGTATGATGAGTATTGTTGGTGGTTTGATGAATAGATTGAATTAAAGAAGAGTTTGAAAGTTGATTAGTGATTAAGAATTCAGTTTGAAGTGGTAAGAGTGGTGGTGGTGGGATCCAACCGTTTTCTGAATCTGAACTTGATGATCTTTTTCGATTTGAAGTAGAATGATCTTCATCACCTATATAAGTAGATCTAGTTAACCTTTTACTACTTAGATTACTATTACTATTACTACTTAGATTACTATTACTATTACTATTACTTTGAGTATTACTTTGATGATGATTAGTTTCAGTTTGATTGATTAGATTTGATGGATGGATGTTAGTTGAATGTGATTTTGGTTTTGGTTTTGATTTAGATTTAGATGATGATGGGTTTGATGAAGTGATCGAATTAGCATTAGAATCTGAATCAGAATCAGAAGGTGGTGAAGTGGTTGATGAAGTGATAGTTGAAGTTGTTTTTAGTTTTTTGATTATTTCTTGTTGATTTGAATCAAGACTCATCGTGATGGATTGGATGGATTGGATGGATTGATGAATTGGTAAATTGGATTTGAGTTCGATTGAGGAATGGTATTCACTGTCACTTGGATTTATCTTGTAATTTTGAGATTAATTTTTCAGTCAAAATCAAAACTTGCCCTTGCAAAAATCAGAACCCATCTTCATTTACTCAACACCCAAAACTTTCAAGAACACCGCGTTATATTCAATCTCACTCTATCTCACTATTCTCAATTTAAACTACAATTTACCAATCCATCATCTTGAACTTCATCAATCCATTCAATATATTATCATTTTCTCTTTATTCTTCAATGCAATCATTCCATCATAACATTTAAAACACCAAACACAAATCAACAAACAAGTAAGATACTAAACTACAAACACAAACGCAAAGCTTTATGGAACTTTCAAAACATCAAATTACATCCACTTTATCTTAATTTACTTTTCTTATTACTCAAACCGCCTTCATTCCCTTTCCTTTTATTCCCAGCTCCACCCCCACTTCCACTGCCTCCACCCCCAGTTCCTCCTGCAACACTAGTTTCAATCCCAAACTCTTTCTTAAGTTTAATCAATCCAAGTTCCAAAACCTTTTCCAAATCTCTACCAATCAATTCAACAGGCGTATCTTTAGGATTAAATTTAAAACAATTTATCAACATCAATCTTAGATCAATTTCAATCTCATTCAAACTTGAATATCCATCTGAATTTAATCTTTTTCGAATCGTTCCTAAATCTCTTGCTTTTTCTTTTCCTCCGATTATTGGATAATATTCTGGTATCTGTAGTACGATCGGATCTACTGGTTCACTAAAGATATTAGCACTACCAACCGGGAAAAAAAATCATCAAATTTCAATTCATCAAAACCTTTCACTCAAATCAATTAATCAAACCAATCACTCACCCAGGCACTTGTAATAATCTTTGAATCAATCCACCCAACGCTCTCTTCTCCTTCGCATTAATCTTCGAATCCTTCTCCCATTCATCCTTCCAAACAGCTTCTAATCTCTTCGCATCCGCTCCCACAAAACTAGCCGGTCCATTAAACTTAATCGCATTCGACACCATCAAATCAAAATCATTCATCAACTCATACTGATACTTATATTGATGTGATTCTAATTTCTTTAACATCGTACTTAAATCCATAGGAAATTGGATCTCATCTAAATATGTTGGTGCTCCATCTTTGATCGGATCAACCGGTACTCTAAACCATACTCCAGATTGATGTTCTAACATCGTCTTGATAATCACTTTAGCTTTTTTAACACTAATCAAATCTTGTGAACCTGAAGTCGGCTTCACTGTGACTTCTTCTTTACTTTTCTTGGTTGATCCTTCATTCTTGGGTGTGTGGTTGACCTTTTCATTTAACCGCGAACTTGATGATCCTGAAGTAGCTAACGAACCCATCGAATCTTTTCGTTTCAAATCATGAGAACTCGTACTGGCTTCTACACTCATATTGGGCTTTTTGATTTTAATTTTCTTGGGTTCTACTACTACATTAGGTACCTTTGTAACTATTGGTGTATTCAATGAACTTGAACTAGATTCTATCAATGGTGAATGTTTAACTGATGAGATCGGAGAGTTAACTCCTACTGGCTTATTAGACTTGAGATCTGGTGTGATCTTCAGTTTCTTCAAAGCTGGAGATGGAGCAGATGAGACCATCGTTTTATCTGAAAGATTGCGTTGAGTGTTAATCGGATTAGCTGGTTTTTTGACTACTTTGATCTTTATCGGTCCTGCTACAGTCGTGGGCTTTGAGATTGTAGAGGAGATAGAAGTCACGGAAGCTGATCGAGAATGAGGTATCGGTTTAGGTTCAGAAGAACTTATGGGTGGAGGAATGGGAGGTTGTACTTGAGGCGTGCTAGTTGAAGGGCCAGCAGTCGCTGAGATCGGAGCTGGAGCTGGTTTTGACAACTTCGCAGTAATAGTCGTTTTCTTACGACTAGGCTGTGAGGTCGGGGTAGATGAGGGTGTTTGAGAAAGGGAAGGAGACGGAAGAGCCGCATTTGTCGGCTTCTTGACCGTCGTTGGCTGTACTACAGAGTCCACAAGTGAGGTATTCGAAGCATTCGAAGTAGGCTTTGATGGTTTGGGTTTCGGAGTGATCACAGGAGGCTCCACCGCTTGAGGAGTTTGTGAGCTCACATTAAGTGAATCAAGTGTAGGTGGTGGTGGAGCCGGAAAAGCGGGAAGTGTCGGAGGTCTGGATGGGTTAGGTTGTACAGTTGAGCTAGTTAAAGCTTCTGAGATCGATGGTGGTGGTGGAGCCGGGAAATTAGGTGCCACCACCGGGAAAGTAGGTGGTGGTGGGAGTACAAACGTAGGTAATGAACCTGAATGTCCCTTGGGAAAAGCTGATGGGATTCGTAAGGTAGGTGTAGAAGGCGAACGTCCAACCGAGTTAGATACCTTCAATTTCAATGAAGTTTTTGAGGTAGGTGGTGGCATGGTCGGACTGTCTTGCGCTGGTGTAGCCAACTGTGAACCACTGGCATTCGTATTTCGTGATGATTTCAAGACGACCTTCAATCCGGATGGTCGAGTCACTTCTGGACTCACAATAGAAGGTGTCTGAGGTGGCGGGAGCGTAGGTGGAGCTGAAATCATCGGAGCACCCGCTGCGAAATCTGCAAATGAAGGTGGAGGTGCAAGTGGAGGTGCAATACTAGAAGCCAAGATCGGCTTAGGGTCCATTGATTTGTTCCAACCAGCTCCAGCGCCTCCGATTCCCTTGGCTTGTACTGCACTCATCGTCTTTTCGGATCGCTCCCATTGTTTGTCGAACATTGTCTTCATAGGTTCTGCATGTTTAAGTACGAGTGGACTATCATTTAAATTATATGTTTTACAATTTTGAATCACTAGATTGAAGTCATCTCGAAAAGCTTCTCGATCCGGATATTGACCCATTTCCAATTTATCGCTCATCGTCTTAAAATCCATTGGTCGTGAAATGATATTAAAGCTAAGAGATCACACATCAAGTCAGTTTTGGGTCTCCACCGTTTGAAGAAATCAAAAGAAAATCACACTAACTAATCAGGCGCATTCTGTCGTATAGGATCCACAGGTTTCCTAAACGGAGCTCCCAACGGGTTCGAAACCAATTTCTTCAAGATACTTTGACAAAGCTTATGATCCGGTATGGTCATTCCTGAAGCTTGAAACTTTTTAGGTTTAGGTGCAGGTTTAGGCTTCTTGATCAATTCTACCAACTTCCTTGGCACTTCAGGTTGTACGATCCCAGACGCAGGGGTTCCTGATTGAACGACAATCTCGGGTTCACCCGTCAAATGACTTCGGTCCTTGATGACTATTCTAGGCGATAATACTATGATGAAAAAGTAAAACGGACGATAAGTACGTGATAAGGATTCCTATCCAGAAAAGATTCACTTACACTTCTCCATCGGCATGGGTTCAATCGCACTAGAAGGTGCTGGTATCTTGATCTTTGGCAAGGTAGGCGTAAAGATTTCTACTGAGGATTCAACATTCATGGGTATCTCCAAGGCCAACTTGGGCGGTACTGATTCGTCGGATGGTTTGAATAATACTTCTGAGATTTTGATTAGACATGTTTGCACATCTAAATCCACATTAGGATCTCTGAAATAATGACAAATTACATCACGTCAGGGATGAAGATTTGTCAATCAATCAGGAAACAAAAGAATGAAATATGAAAGACTTACAACATAACCGAAACAATACAATCTCTCAAGATCAAAGCTCTTCCAACCTCAGCTCTTAAGAGTTTAGTAATGTTCTTATGATCAAATTTAGCTTTCGCCTTTGCAGCCACTTCAGTAGGATCATCTATGATTGAAAATCCACCTTTCTTGGGTTCAACCGCAAGTTCTTCCATTAAGACTAAGATTGGTAAACATTGAACCAAACCCATGGCTAATCTTCGTTTGACTAATAAAGACTTATCATCTCTCATCACCAAAAACATGTATCTGACAATCGCCTTTTCTTGAAAAGCTCGTAAGAGAAGTAAACAATCGAAAGCAAGGATCCGGATCGGTGGATAATTTCCGGGTCTGATGATGATCGAAGACAAATATTGAAAGTGAGATCAGTGATGTGGCTCAAGAAGCTCTTCTAATTATCAAATCTAGAAGCTCACCTTGTACAAGCTAAAAAGAACATGATATCCACAGGCATCAAACTAGCTAGCATCATCTTCAATTTAGACTGATCGAATTCGTACTCATTAGTTTTTATGGTCTGATGAGAAACACGAAATGCTAACCTCGATAACCGCCATGGTCACCAAGTTCCGATAAGATGGTACCAATCGATCCATCACCAAACACCGTTCGACTTCGTTAATCATTGCCCAAAGATTCCGACGACCAAGACTACCGTCTTGTGATCGTTTCTTCAATGACATTCCAAAGAGTTCACTACTGTTGTCTAGTGAAGGTCCTTCTGCACTATGCATAAAACAGTCCGTCATAGCCGAAATCACCGTTGAGAGGTAATTCACATCTGAATACTAAAGGAAAGATGCATCATGAGTTTCATTCTACTCCACCAGATATGATGTAGGACATCGATTTGGAAGACTGACCGGGTTCATTGAATTGTCATTATAAGTCAGTTGATCGAGGAAAAACTGCTGACAGACGATCGGTGAAGTATTATTGTGATCTCGAACTCTCGATAAAGCAACGACGATAGCCTGTAAGGAATTTTACCAACTAAGTCAAACTGTATTCCTACGACCAATAAAATTCAGACTAGATATTATAGATAAATCACTTACTTTGCGTAAAAAGTATTCAATCAGATTTCCAAAATGATTGGTCTTTGGAATTGCTCTGATTTCGAAAGGATCTGCCGACTCTTTTTGCGGTGCGAAACAGTATCGAGTTTGAAAAAGTTTCAATAGATGGAACAGGCCAAGGTAGTTGCATTGTCTCGTAGCACACTGATTGTTTGTATATAGTAAATCGAACATAAGATGAAAAAAAACATCATGGTCAACTAAAGTACGAAGATTAATACAAAACGTGTGGTGCATAGTTTTCATTGGATGAACACTTGTTATATGAACAACGCCACTGGTACAGCGTGACTTCATTTTTGGTATGCGACCAAAGAACATAGAATGACAATGGTGACGTGAAATAGTAGTCGAACAGAGAAGAAAGAGAGATGTAAAACTACGAACATATACAAGAGCATAGACCGCCTCTATCCTGATCCTGAAAAAGTATTCCGGAGTCAAGACAGTCTTACAGAGATGACTCGAAACAACATTTGAAGGTAATTGTTTCAACGCTTCAATCGCCTTGAAATAGATCATACAAATTAGACAATATGCCAAAGCGTTTTGAAAGCCTACACATATCAAAAGGAAAAAAAACTTACTTCTAACTGTGCAACGACGTCCTTATCACGTTGTAATTGTTCAATCCACATATACTCTTTCATTTCGAATCGAAAATCACAGATCCACTCTGCTTCAACATCGAACCGAATCCATTCAAACATACTTTGCATCATCATCTGTTCTTCATCCTCGGTCCAATCTTCCACCCTCCAACGTGCTCTCTCTTCTTTAGAGCGATCCCACAGTTTCCATGTGAATCGATCATCTGCTTCCTCTTCTGTTTCGGCTGTTGGGTTGGTCATTGCATATCGTTTGATAGACTTTCTGGCTCGTTTGTACTTGGTGTTGATCGGAAGTTCGTATTTTCTCGAATGATCCTTGACATCCAAAACGTGTTCATAAGGAATCCCATCAGCTTCATGTATCCTGATTGACATTTGGCCTTCGAAATGGTCCAACGGCTTCAAGTTACATCTCTCTTCCCAACTCGTATTCTCATGATCATAATGTAATTTGGCTCGATTGATTTGTTTCATGGTGAGTTCGATAACCATCTTCTTACGATTGAATTGAGTGACAACTTCAAAGATTGGACAACCTGATGAATAAATCCATTGATCTGCCCAAGACTTCATATCATTCCCACTCAACTTACGACAAGTTCTTAAAAAGTTATTAGTTGATAAACGACTATCTCGCATCTCCCCTGAAATTGCCGAAAGAAATATCTTGGGAATCACTCGACTTAATCCTAAGGATGTTCCTCCACCTGACCGCCTGAGGTGTCGATCAAGGATATACAGGACCAGGCTTCCTTTCAGATTGACAAATCCTAGCATCTCGGTATCGACCGAGTCAGGTAGACCAGGCTGACAGATCGGTGGCTTATTGACATCAAGTTGAACACATCTCATCATATCTTTTTTCAACCTGAACCTATACTCATTAAGTCCCCAGACCCGTTTGAAATACATTGCGGTGATGTAGAGTGAAAGTCCGTTGATAAGCCAAGTATCTGAGGGTGATTTAGGAATAATATTGACTCCGATCCATTGACTAGCGAGGGAATGAACCAGTAGAGATTTGGTTTCGTAAACTTGATCAATGACATCAGATGGATAGAGTAAATCGGATGGATACAAGGTAAGGGTAGCTGAGTTGAATGAGGCACCGATCGAATGTGTTGCAGAGAACATATCTAGAAACACAAGTTTGTAGGATGAGTAGGGATATGAGCCGTATTCTTGAGTAAAGAAGGTGAGAGTATGTAGCATAAAATCCGAAGTATGGTGTAATTCTGCCGTTCGATTCGGTAAACTAAAGGCATGTAATTTAATTTGACTACATGAATCATTCTCTACAAACTTTTCAGCTTGTTGATTTTCAAGTTCTTCTTGGTCTTGATCATTGACTGGGCTTCCGTTCTGAGATGAAGAATTCGGGGTAAGATCTGATACTACAAATGGTCCAACAGCCCAAGCGATATGTTGAACAGAGGTAGGAATCGATTGAGAGTAATGAAAGATAGTTTTTGACGGATCGGATGGATGGACGACTTGTTCGATCAATTCACCAGAAGCAATCACTGTGATCGGATGTTCAGTTGTTGAGACCGATCTAGGTACGATTAACTCAAGTTCCCAAGTACACCTTTCCCATAGAGAGTCAACACAAGGGATCCAAGACCTAGCCGAAATTGAATTTGTAAAGACATGTGGAAATTGTCCTTCTACGACACAGATACCAAGATTGTGTTGTAAGTCATCTAGAGTGATACAGTATTCAATTTCGATTGATATCGGTTCAAATTCGACTTCTTTTTCCTTTTGTAATTGATGTCCGGTCAAATTAGCAGATGGAGTTGAACCAGAAGGATCATTCTGTCGATCGATTTTTTTGATTTTAGATCGATCAATTCCAATAGCTAATTCACCGGTTCCTTTCTCATTAACGCGTTGAAAAAGATGACGTTTAGCTTCTGGGAATTGTTTAACCGAACGTGGATCAGGAATCGAGACAGGCGGTGGTTCGTTGAGAATGAAATCGAGTTTTGAAGGAGTTGGTTGAGCAGGATGAGAAACTGAGATGATATGTGTTGAAGTAGAATGAAGATGAACAGTTTGTAGTTGATCTGATAGAGGAACTATGACAATTTCAGTTGAAGCTCTGATTTGACCATTGAGATTGATATCGAGTGTGATTCTTTGATGAGTGACAGCAAAGGCACGATGAGTTGGTCCATGAGAGGACATGATGATTCCATCTGACTTGTACTTCAATCTTGATGACTTTGATCGATCTTGAAGTATTTGAAGTTTTGATGATCTTTTGAACCGTTAAAATCTTGAGAATGAAAGGTTGAGTTAAGAAGAACATGAGACGATGAGAAGAATAGTCAATAAACTACAGTTATCAAAACTACAGTCATTCGAAACAACATTAAAACTAACTTCATTTCAAATCCCATCTCAAATTCAAAATGTATGCGTCATCTTGGCACGCAAAACTGAATCAAAGTGATCTTCACAATTTAAGGAATTCATCTCACCAACTGTGTGCTCATGACCAAATGATACCAATTTATATCATCATCACTTCCTCATTGGATGTCTTTCAAATGGACTCTTTGATCCTACCCACCTAGTGATCATTTCTTGTTCTACCATCTCAACTGAATCTTTACTGAAACAGGACACAATGATAATAGTATATCTGTTCATTTCATCAGATTTATCTCATTGGTCAAAAGCTTTCAAGATGAAGGATTTAATTCCACACACACAATCAGTTCAGGCAGATTGATCTGAATGATTATAGTATTTTACCAGAAGGTAGCATCAGATCTCATACAATCGCAACGCACATCATAGATAAGAAAATTAACAAAGAATTTCATAAAATTTTTATTCTACAACAACATCTGAACAATTCTTTAAACCATATCGACTTGATTCTCAAACTAATCTTGCATTAGAATGTACTTTTTTAATATTCTTTCAACAGATTTTCTGTGACTTTTGTCACCAATTTTGTACATTCAAGTTCAACGACTTGACAAAAACATGCTCATTTCATTGAAAGTTGATATGCTCTTCTTAACCATCTCCTACGTCTTAGTGAAGGACCTAAAGATGCAGTACCATTAACGAGATTCCAACCATGTTGATCTAGATTCGAGCTAGTATGATCAATATGCCATCCTTCCGTAGGAATCCATTGAAACCCATCAGGAGGTTGAACGGCCCTACAAAACAACAACCAAGACCAATTAGAAGAAAGCAAGTTCTTGAAGAGGAAGAGTAGCTTACCAAAGACCTGCAGTGGGTTGAAGAACATGATCTGGAAGTTCTACCATCCAAGCTCTAGGATCGGTATTCTGTTCTAGAAAACTATCACTCCAACCTGGACCTGTGCCACCATACCTTTGATGTTCACAACACACCACAACCCGTATAGCAGGTGAATCGATGACATGATCAGGTAAAGCGTCATTCGCAATCACTCTTTCTACCACTGTCATGGATCTTCGAGTCGGAAGTAATGGTGTTAAATAAATCATAAATCTTTGTAAAGTTGGATGTTGTGCAAAGAACATCGATTCTCCTATTCCTAGTAATACCCAACGCCATGGTATGTAGGGACCCATGAAAAAGAAAAGGATTGAGGTGATTAAAGATAGGTGTAGGAGAGATAAAGAGTAATGAGGATTTGACCAATTTAAATAAGGTACGATTTGTGATTTGACTAAATCTGATGCTAATGAAATCCTTCCCATCATGATTTGAATGTTTTGCTATACAAATTATCACACCGTTTGTTAGTTAATTAGATTGTGAGTTTTGAAAAGATTCAAGATAAGATTCAAGATAAACCGAATTCCGTACCATATTAGAAAGGTAACTGCAAGAGTGAAACCAAAGTCAGTTAGTGTTGATCGAGCGTAAGTTGTGAAAGATCAGAGAATTAGATGACTAACTCGACAGAACCTTCCTTAGGTTCGTTTGTTGGTAAAGGATCATGTTGTTCATTCAAATTGATAACAGCTTCTTTGGAATCGATTTCATTTGAATTCGGGTATGCAGAAAGCAAGATGGCAATGATCGCAAGATTCGGAAGAAGAATAAAGAAAATAGGATTGATACCTAAGAAAGAAAGCAAACGAACCAAGAAGAATGGTCAGTAATAAATCATGATTGATCGAGAATCAACAGAACAACAAACATAACCAAGCCCATAAACAAGCCCAAAAAGTAGTTCGTAAAGCGTCTTTCCAAGTCAAGATATCTTCGACCCGATCTTGAAACCAAAAGATCGGACCACTCTTTGAAACAAAGTTCTTGAAATTGGTTGTAGTGGTTTGTAAACTTAATGATTCTTTATCATTTGAATTGATCGATGCTTGATTTGGGGAAGATTGGGTTGGATGACTTTGAGATGTGGCATTTAGAGTGGTTGAAGTGGCTGATGCTAGTACTGTACTTGCTATAACAGATCCTACTAAATCGAATGATAACTATCTTCATGGATTAGTTTAGTTTTTTGAATGAAGATGTTTGGTGAGGATTTCTTGATGACTTACGCTTGATTCGTTCTTGTTATCTGATGGCATCTTTTTCTTTTCTGGATTCGAATCTTGAAAAGTATTCTAAAGTGTAAAACAGAAACTTTAAAATCCAATTGTTTTTGTAAAGTCGTTCGTCAAACTTAAAAGATGACCTCAAAGCTAAACAAGATTTGATTGCATTCATCTCCTGAAGAACTCATACATACACTTAAATACGGAACAATGTACTTACAAAACTGGATGTGATCTGATCATCTGATGTTTCCTGTCATGTCCTTCACTAAACTTCAAACAAAGTCTCAAGTCGAAAGTGGTGCAGAGTTGTGCAAAGTGGTGGGGTGGTTTTTAGTGGCGCCTCGTGAGAATTGGTCAAGTTTGTTTAAGGTTATCTTGATATGTAAGTCACGAAGAGCGTGCACTGGGGCGCACCTCAACAAGGGTGCTCATTACCATTTACACTGGAAAATGATTGCAAGAAGATCAACTTAAAGACCACCACAATCAACAAGAACAACAAGAATATTCACCATCATCCAACAATCTGAAGATACAAAGTACGATCAAATATAGGTAATCAATCCAACGTTTCATGGGCGATATTATTATATGAATTCAAGTGAGTTTCTTTCTTTGTAATTTTGATTTGTTTATTTATTTACGTAAGATAAGTAATTCAATAACCGACCGGAAAGTTTTAGTTCAATCTCAGAAACCAAATCAACTCAAATCAACTCACACTATAACTTATCATCATCACACTTTACCAATCACACAGTTCTCATCAAATTAATCAATTATTATGTAAAACAACCAAATCAAAAGGAATCCAGCTTGACATTACACAAAGAGATGATGAACACATTCCATCCAAGTAAATGATCTTCAATCAACTCATTCATCATTCACAAGAAAAGGATACTTAAAACTAGAGAACGGGGCGACCATTCACCGAACAAAAGTTGAAAAAGAACAACATGACTGAAAAGATTTTAAATCAACTCATTCAAACTTATTTATCAACACCCTCATCAACTTCAACTTCAACTACGTTAAAAAACATTGAAGCACATTTAAAGAAATCATTTGATTTCTCATCTGATCATGGTATGATTATCAACTCTTTGAGCTTAGACCGTACTATTCAAAATCAAATCATTTTAAAATTACAACAACCTAATCATCATCAGCATTCAACAACTTTAGAACTGATTAGAATTCGATTTCAGCTAATCTCAGATTGGTTAAGGTTATCATCTTCATCTTCAACTTCTCCATCACTTATCAATTTATCTTTTTATCAATCAATTCATCATTCAATTCTCATCGATCAATCCATCTCCAAACAAGTCTTGAAGGATGAAGAAATCATTCAGTCTATCATTAACTCTATCAGCTCAATCACAAAGAATGGAAAATATATCACTGGTTATCATCAACTCATTCCGCTTATCATCAAACTCAACTCCAACAATCCAATCATTAATATTAACCAGGCCACTTCAATCACATCTCAACGATTCCATCAATCGGCTCGATTATTGATCTCCATCACTAAATTCTCATCGCCTCATCTCTCTAATGATGATGTCAATCAAATCATCCATCACCTCATTCTTCATCATCCATCAAACCATCAGGATCATCTTGAGCTCACTCTAGAGTATATACAGGCGTTGATTGTCTTTGGCTACGTACCATCTCGTGAAAGTTTGATTCATCTGGTGAAATTTGTAGCTAAAGTCATTGGTTCAAATCATCACTGTGAGTGATTAATCTAGTTTCTATCTTTTGATATTGTTCCTTGACTAAAATTCGAAAGGATACTGATCCCAATTCATTTACCTACCATTAACTTCAGCTTCGCCGATTATCAAACAAGCAAAAGAATGCATGAGAGATTTGATCAGGTCACCTTCCAATCAAGCCATTAGCTCATTAATTCATCTCATCTCAGAAGCTCGTCAGCATCCAGCTGATGTCGTCATTGGCTCAATTCGATGTTTACGTGAAGCTTTCAGAGATTATCAATCGATTTCAAACACTTTGACTCATCATCTAGAAGACCATCAACTCAAAACGGCACTCTCTTTACTTAGTCTTGGTCTTAGTTTGATCAAGCATGAATTGATGAGCTTCATCAATTTCACTACCAATATTAGTGATGCTCAACGTCGTCAGGAAGATTATCAAATTGAACAAGAAATCATTTACCTTTTGATTGATCGAATCCAGCTCACAATCGAACAACAGCATCTCCTTCAATCTCATCGATCTCAAGACCAACAGTCTTCCCGAAAACATGACCGCGGAAATTCAATTTCGACTTCTGATGTCAAACCCTTGCATCAATCACAACCTGTGTCATATTCAAAGTCAAATAATCATCAAGTCATCAAATCTGACGATCTGAATTCCATTCTTGATCTCATGATGGCCTTCTCAGATTCGGTTTTATCAGATTGGTTTCAGTCTGTCAACAATCCATCAGGTACGTGTGTGAACACTCTTTCTGTCTCTTTCTGTTCTCTTTCACCTATTCATTATTCCTTCAATGACTGACTGATTTCAACTTCATGGAATGATGAACAGTCGACGCAGCCCACCATCCACTCAAATCATTTGCTAAACTCTTCTCAATCATCTTCAATCAATTCACTTCCAGTAACTTCCAACCTCTCTCTGCTCATCATAACCAGATCACTATCGGCAAGTACTTTAAATTGGCCATTCGTCTCTCTCAACATCTTCCATCTTCTCTCAAACTTATTCTCATCGACCAAATCGATGCTGAGAGAGTTTGTGCACCTGATCACTCGCATTGGGTCTCCAATCTCAATTCACTTCTCAATGGGTTTTTCAACTTTGATCCTCCGCTTCCGAGTCACGCTACCAACAATACGACTCCTCAGTTGATCTCCGATTCAATACTTTCTAGTACCCCTCAGATCTCCACCAGCACTCAACTACGCTTGCTTCGCTTAATCTCGGATGTCTTTCTTAGTACTCGTGATCTAGATGATTGGAGACAACAACTTTTAGATGAAGTTATCTTCCCTATTCTCACACGTATCCTACTTTTACACTATTATCCTCCTTTTGATGATTCAGCTCTCATTGATGAATCTATGAATCTGATTCAAGAGATTCTCAAGAACGAATTAATCAATGATCTATTGGCCAGCGATGATTTGACTTGCTCCTCTACTCCATCGCAACCTTTGAATTGCGATACCTATGATCTGTTTCGAAACCTTTTGATACGTGCTGCTAGCGTTGATCGCTTTTATGAGTCTAAAGAGGTCAGCGAATTGATCAAGTCTAGATTTCAAGCCAATCTCCCATCCATGGCGCCTTCGAATTCCGCCGATTCACCTACTTTACTTTCTCCTGTTGCTCTTCCTACCTCCATTTCACCTTCAAAACCAGCCACTACAGTTACCACCACTGCTTTATCCAGCTCTGGCCCTCAGACATCCGGCCGTCCCACGAAATCTACCTCGCATCACTCAGCTTGTCTTAAACGTCGTGAAAAATTGGCCTACAAGGCTGTAATCACCTTTCTTAAACTCTTTCAAGATTGTTTAGCAATCTCGACTTCGTACTCCAATCTACAATGTGCTGCCATTTTCAAACACCTTGTCCAGCTCCTACGACCTGCGCAAGATCCTCACCTCGGTTTACCTATTGATTCTTCTCCTGTCTTCAATGGGAATCTCTTCAGTTTCAACGATCTAGACCATCATCTTAAGCGGACTAGCTCACCTTCCACTCTCCAATCTTCCGCCAAGCTCGCCATTCTTAAATGTTTGGTCAGGCTAAGGGCTGATGAAGAGCATCGGGTTCAGTTTGTACGAGATGTGAATATTGAAGGATTAGCTAGTATCATCGGGCGTGTAGTCTCTCGTGATGCGAAACCGTACGTAAAGTTTTGAATCAAATATTTCTCTTTTCATTGACTGAGAATTTGTCGCATTTGGACATACTTTTTGTTCTCTGACACATAGGACAGCTCCAACAGAGCCTAGGACGTACGATCGGAAAAGAGGCCTGACGCCAGATCAGAATCCGGTGACTAGCCCTACAGCCTCTCGTCTCAAGTCTCGAAGCATGAGCATCAATCATCCAATCAAGAAGGATCCCAATCTTGGAGATGAGAGTGAATTTATCGTTTTGTCACGCAAACCAACCGCCACATCGAGCATGACTTCAGCTGCTGAAGAGTTAGTTGATCGTCACCTATGGACATGTCCTGAAGATCTAGACGAATTCAATTGGCCTCCTCATATCCGTACTCAGTCGACTCATAGTCTTGTTACCTTTGATCATGTAACACGGAAAGATTGGGATCCATCATCCGAACAAAAGTCAATCTGGCCTCCGAAACCAGTTCCTCAATCGAGTAGCGCTTGTCAACATCATCAATTGGCACAAAATCTTACTATCTTACCTATCTCTGAATATTTAGCTGCATTGATTTCGATTTTGAGATATGATACTGATTGGGAACTGGTGTCTTACATATTATGTCATCTACCTGGTCAACTCTCCAACAAGCACTTTGTATGTGGACCTAATGCATCGCAACAGATTCATCAATTACGTCGATTCTTATGTTCTGGTATCAAACTTGATAAATTACTTGTCCAAGTCAGATTTCCACCTCGACAAAAGGTCAAACCGACAGATGCACATGCGATCACCTATCAAACGTTATCCACTTTGATCGCTTACAAAGCTTTGTTTGATAAGGCACAGGCAGACGAGTTGGTCGGATCGTTTGTGACGGGTTTAGGAAAGTACAAAGATACAGCCAAAGCTTGTATTCATGCTCTTTCACTGTCTTGTCATGAACTTCCACTCTCGATCACGAAATATTTACCTGAGATTTTGAGGGGATTGATGAGGATTGTATCATCGGCATTTGCATCGGTTCATATTTTAGAATTACTTGGATTCTTAGGACAGATGCCAACGTTGTATGCCAACTTAACAGAAGAAGAATTCAAAATGATCTTTGGGATTGCTTTACAATATATTACGAATCATAATCAACAAAGTTTACTAGAAGCTAAGAATTCGGTTCCATCGAGTCCTCATCCTGGATCTAAACTAGCTAATTCGAATTTAAGCATGACAGATAATAATCAATTGGGAGATGATGTTCAATTAGCCTTTCGTCAATATGTTTATCTTATGGCATTTTACGTGATTTCGCTTTGGTTTGTGTCATTGAAATTACCGGATCGAAGGAAATATGTTCGATTTATCACTCGGAAATTGATTCAAGCTTGTGAAGGTAAAGCAGAATTAGATGAACCCACTGAAGTTTGTTTTGATATGTTGAATCGATATACATATTCGAATGCGGAACCGAAACCGAGGAAGAAACATTCGAAATTCAATGAAGTGATTCATTCTTCATTGGGTAAACCGATTCGAACCTCTTCCTGGGTTGTGGGTTCGTCAATCCTAACGATCAAATGTCTTAGTAGACCTGGTTGGACAGAAGTTTGTGTGAGACGACCAAGTGGGATGGTGAAGATGATTTGGGAGTTGGAAAACTTGAGTGGTGATCATGCTGCTTCTGAATATGATGTTTTGGATATGGTGATCAGACATCGAGATACACTTTATTCTTCGGCATTTGATGAAGATGGATGGGTGGCTTCTACTCAACATCAACCAAACTCAAGTACAGATCCTGATCAAGAGATTGATCAATCAAATCCAGATCTTAATGAATCTATGACTGATCAAGGTTTGAAATTTGAAAAAGTTAGAGAAGTTAAACTTGATTCTATCTTAAGTCAATCTAGTGAAATCACACGTACGACTGGTATTGAACCTAATTATACTAATCTGGTCGTCGAACCTAGTTTCTTTGCACTGCAATTATTACCATTTAGTGATTCGTCATCACTTCAATCATCTTCAAGTAACACATCTCTCGATTACAAACCGATGCTGATTCCAGATGGTGTACGTTATCAAAGATCAATCGACACCATAGATCGTATACCTGTAGTTGAATTTCATAAATTAGGAGTGATTTATGTGGGACCAGGTCAAAAGACAGAAGAAGAGATTTTAGGAAATTTAGAAGGATCGAAAGCTTATATTGATTTTTTAAGTTCGTTAGGAACTTTGATTAGATTAAAAGGATGTGAAGGTTATAATACCGGAGGATTAGATGTCAGATCAGATGAACATGGAAGATATGGATATGTTTGGGGTGATGATATTACACAAGTGACCTTTCATGTGGCCACTCTGATGCCGATCGAAACCGAAAGCCACGAAGGAGACATCATTAACAGATCAGAAGGATTGTTGAAGAAGAAATCATTGATTGGAAATGATTATGTGGTGATTGTGTTTAATGAATCAGGATCAGAGTATAAGTTTGGATGTCTTTCATCAGAATGTAATTATATTAATATTATCATTGAACCTAACACGCCTAGAACGAATTTAACATCTAATGATTTAAAGTTTTATAAGATTTCATTACAACTTAGACCTGGTTTACCATTTATTGGACCGATTGAAAACTTTAAATTAGTTTCAAGTTCGATGATTTCAGAATTTATTAGAAGGATTTCCATTAATGCCAATACGTTTGTTCAAGTTTATTTAGGTACAGTTGGAACTGGTAATCGGAAATTAGAGTATGTTTCTCATTGGAGAGGTAGGTTAAGAGAAATTAAAAGGTTAAAAGAAAGAGTTTTGAAGTTTGAAGTAGAGAAGAAGATTAAAGAAGAAAATGAAATGAGAGACAGAAGAGGTGAGAATTTGGGTCATCATGCTGGTAATGGAGTAGGGGGAAATGATGGTGAATTTGATGTAGATGGATTAGTTGATTTAAGAGATTTTAGTTCATGGACTGGATAGTGTTCATTCTGATCATCTTGATGTTGGTTTGTAAGGTTTTTAGTTTTGTTTTGTTTTTCATTTGGTTCATATTGGGATTTACAAAGAAACATGCAACTTTTTTTTATTTGTCTGGTTTAAGTTTTTTTTTGTTCAATATTGATTAGAGAAAAAAAGGAAAAAGAAATCACAATATGTAACTAAGTTAGATACATACATAGATAGATGATGAAAGAAAAGTAAATAAATACATTCAGTATATAGATAAATATATAGATATGATTAAAGAAAATGAATAAAGAAATTAGTTTTTGATTTGTTTGAACATTTGTTTTTTAGTGAAATTTTTTCGAGTTGTTGAATATATGTATATGTAATGTTTGTTTTTTGAAGAAGGACTTCTTTTGCAGGTTATTTTTTCTTTTTTGGAAAGAAATTTGATTTGATTTTTAAAGATTTTTTGGGATTTTGTTTTTGTTGAAGAGGAAAGTTTGTGAGTGAAAAAGTTGGTTTGATGTGATCTGGAAGTATTGGAAGTGAAATAGATGGGATTGAGTGTATGGTTTTTCTTTGCACACAAGAGACCTTTCCTAGGCTGCAGGTTGTTTTTTTTGGAAAGACTAGAGAATATGTGGACATGCCCTCAACAGGGGACCTGGTTATAAGACGTACACCACAGGGCAACTTTTGATGTATGGTATATGAACAACTGAGCTCCAGGAACAGGTGGGGTTCATGTTGGGATCAGATGAAGGAAACACAATTGAGGCTAGGTGCTCTGAGGGTGGTTGATGATGTATCCAGAACATAAAATCTCAGGTCAAATTGGGCCCACATAGACCACAATGTCCTTGGTGTGTGAGTTGAGTGAGATGTTGGGTACATGTTTGCACCCATTCTGGGTCGGAAGAAGGGTACAATCACAATGGGTTCTGAGCACATTGGCAGATATGTGAGCAATGGGTGAACTATAAATCTGTGATTCTCATATTGCAGTACAGCCAACAAATTTACCTCAGATTAGCCTTTAAGGGGTTTCCAAGTTGAAGGCTTTTATGTATTTTTAAACAGCAACTTGCCCATCAATATGCCTGTGTTTTTTGAAGGGGACACCTTTTTAGGTGTCCTGCTTTAAGATTACATTGGCTTTGCAAAGGTTTTTTTATGAATAACTTGTCCAAATTTGTAGAAAACATATGCAAAAAGATTAAACTTGAAAACCTTCATTGAAACATCCTCAAATCCTTGGACAGCATCTTTCTGAGGATTGGAGCCAAGGTATTTTTGGGGGCAAAACAATGACCTGGATTGAAACCTCAGACAAGATATGTCTAGGGATTTGCACCCAATGAGGCCTCTGATTCCGCAAATGAAGATGGACTTTTAATAAGGTTAAAACACAATATGTGAAGGAAAAACAAGACAATAAAGCATAAACAGAGTATTGACCAACAGTTCAGTTAACACAATAAGTTGATGATAAAGAGACAATAAAAACACATTGACCTTAGATATCTTGTTCCATCAACAACAATGGGTCATTGTGTTGCAAAAAGTGCGCAACACAACACATTGAAACACACCTGCTTGGACTTCTGCCAATTGCATTGCCCCATCAAGCTGGGAGTTCTCTTCTTTTGGTTTGTGTTGATGGGCAACACAACTAGAGCAACCCTGACAGCGGGCTTTGGAAATAGTCAGAAGGACCTTCTGGGTGGCAGAAAGTATTTGTTGATCTGATTGGGTCTTCCTTGTGCCAAGGAACATCAAATATGTACTGTGTTGGTTGAAGGTTGAAGTGCTGTCAAGCTTGCACATAAGTAGTCCAAGAGGCCTCAATGGCCTTGGGTGTAGAATAGGTAGAACAAAATAAACATGTGATATTTTAAAATTACATGAACATTTGTCTATTTGACTTCATGAGTAGATAATAAGTTCTGAAATATAATATCATTAATGTGACTGTTTGCACTGATTTTTGCGGTTTTCCAAGGGTTGTGTCTCCAGCAATGCAATGGGGGCTTGCCAACACCAGTTGTGTTTCTCAGGTCTGGGTGGGAATATCTTTTGTTGTGTTGCAAGCAATGCAACACAGCGGCCCATTGTTGCCATCAAGATTCCTAGAGCGGATCAAAGGGGTCACTACATAAAGAAAACAAACACACACATCCACAATTACCCCTGAATGAAAATTTACCACTGAATCTACATCACCCCCTTTCTCCCTTTGTACACTGTCTTAGACATTCCAAATTTCTAATTACACACCCACACTAAACAGACTGGGGATTGTATTGACACTTGAACAATGAATTCCAACATGTCAGACAGTTGTCCTTCCAGAGCAGTCATGTTGTGGCCAAAATGAATGACACATTCCAGATATCATTTGTTTTCTATTCTATCTTTTAATCTTGTTTATGATCAATTTCACTGCTGGGAATCCTAGCATCAAGCCTAGGACTAGTGACAACATCTCTTTAATTTCAAATTACCTCTCTTGAATAAAGACAAGTTGCTGGTTACCTGTGGTTACTGCTTCTCCAACTCACCATCCACTTCCAATCCCCAATTCACTCATCATTTTGCTTTCTGAGTGCTATTATCATGATCAGTACTGTATCTAGTCACAGATTGATCATCATCTTCCTCAGTTTTTCTTGCTGGCACTGTTCATTATATGTTAGTTTATCTTTGTTCAATCACCAAAACTCAAACTTGACGCCCCTTCATAGATAGGGTATAAAGAGCATACAGCTGTCTAAAAGAATTAGAAGACGCCTCATTCAAAAGAAACAATGATTGGTTTGTGGATGAACATACCCCAGCAACATCAAAGATCACAGGAGTTGAAAAGAACAAGATTCAGTGTGATAGAGGGAATATAAATAGGGTGCATTTGAGCTTGAGATGTAGCTGCAGTTGCTTATAACAGAGTTAATTGGGGTTTGGTTAAAAATGGGAATCAGCTTCCATTGTTTGACAAAATCAATGTTTGAAACAAGGAGAATCAAGGTGAAATTGACCAAAAGTTGAAAGAAATAGTGACACAATTGAACAGAAGAAGTTGCCAACTTCAAAAATGAAAGGTAACCTTATTTGAATAACACTAACACTACTCAACAGGTACATAATAGAGAACAGGGCATCTGCAAGTACCTTGTAACAATTTTTTTACATAGGATGATACTCTTTTTCAAGAGTTTTTTTGAATTGCTTTTGTTCAAGAGGAAAGTTGATCATAAGAGGAAAACTTTACTTGTTATGAGGTAGCAGGGACCTGAATCAAAAGGAATCAAGTGAACAGGTTTTATTGGCACACAAGAAAGATTTTTATGTCATAAACTCACATCAACTTGTTTGATAATTTTATTCATATACATCTGTAAGCCATGAAATCTCACCTGATTCAAACACTTCAACTCATGAAATTACTTTATTCATATTTGATGTCTTCTGACTTTTTACTGGATAGGATATGATTTCATACAAAATGAGTGATCTTTGTTGGTTCTTGGTCAAACCCTTGCGGGAGTATTGTGCTCTTTTTCTCAGTTATGCTTCCAATGCTTGAAAAATTATTGAGCAAGATGGGTAGATACTGAGGGAATCAAGAAATTAGATTGATTACCACAAAAGCAAGTCTGAACTATGATCCAGAATGCTGGATGGGAATGCTCACTCAACACATGCCGTTTTTCTCTCAAAGCGTGAGTTTGTAAAGAACGCTGATATCATTTTGTAACCAAAAAAATTAGTGAATGAAAGGAAATGTCTTCGAAATATTTACGGAATTGAATGAATTACACAATTGTCTGAGTACTCATGTGAGATGCAAAAAGGCCACATAGAGCCAAATAAATAGACCTGCTGAATGAAATATGATTTAAAAGTTCAAAGGCTCGAAATAAGAAGTCGCTCTTCATCCTTTCACAGGGTGATTGATTATTTGAGTATCCGCGAAAGGTATCTAGTTTTTCGGGCTTAGCAAGGTGCTACTGTCCTCCAAATTATTCAAACTTGATAGCTCATGATTTTGTTGTCATTTTTATAGAGGCTGAATGGGGTTGGGATACCACTTTTCGGAGCTAAAAGAGCAAAATCGAATCACTGGTGAGAAAAATGTCTTCTCATAAACTTGCAGTTGCCATTCCTGCAACTTGCAAAAAAACTCACCCAGCGCAGTTGCCCGCTATTAGGATATGTTGGCAGTGGTATAAAATTCTGCGAGAAATCTTGCCCACTTGGCTTTCCACTGCGTTGGATCCGATTTTACAGGTACAGAATGAACTTTGGCGGCTAGAAGTCGTTGCATGGTGAGTCGAAGTCGAGATTCAAAAATCCCAGGCTCGATGGCTTCCCCAAACCAGCGACGAACAGCAGTGTTCGGATCATTTGGCTCCATACCGATGTACTTGTACAAAAGTTGGGCTCCCTCGGTGAGCGTACTTTGCGAAGTGTGAGGGATTTTGGGTGCCTCCAAGGCTATTCTCAGTTTTACCATCAGATTTGGGTCAAAGCCTTTTGATAAGAATTCCAATCGCAAGCCATCGTTGATCCATGTGCCCCGTTCAAGATTCTCATCGGACAAGGGCTGTCGAAAACTACTCTTGACATTACCAACGAGCATGTTGAATCGCTGGCTATAGGTAGATGTGTGACAGTTTGCTGAAAGCCGAGAAGTGTGAGATGTTCGAGGAGGATTTGGACCATCTGATGGACTGAGGCAGAAAATTTGCAGCCAACCCTTCTCTGCAGAAATGTCCCAAGGAATAGTTTGTTGATTGGCATTCGTCCGCCTACTGAGTATCAGTAGAAGCACTCGACGAGCCTCATTCAATTCGGCGGCGCTCCACCTTCTGTTTTTGGCCTCCCATAATTTTAACGAATCCCCAATTTTGATGACGACTTCCCAGTTCAATCCGCGTGACCACAGCATATACATATCCTCCTTCCTCCACCAAACCGGCTTCTTTCCTCTTGCACTCATCACGGTCAAAAGGTGACATCTACGTTGAAGCTCTTGAGGATCCATGACGCGTTGATACCAACGACAAACATTCACCAGTCGTGCATACGTTTCAGGAGTATTGAATGGTCCTCTTGCTGCCAGGTTTGACCATCCATTTCGGCTCGATTCCAAAAGACTTTCCTCAGGTCGACCGTGTTGAATTGCTTCGCCAAAGATTCCCCGAAGTTCACTTTCCAAGGGGTCATCCTTGTTTCGCAATGTCGATATTGTTTTTTCAGAATTCAGCCCTCGTGTCTCCATGTTGACTTGATAAGTATTACGTCGTAAGATACCCTCAACCAAAATTCCAGTCTGGATAGGTCTAAGGGATTTTATTGATGGACGTGGAAAGAATGCATGATCTATGAGGCGGGCATTGATCATCGTGTTGCTCGGATAGTCAAACTGAAGACTTATATCGGCTAATGTGTTTGCGAGCATGTATGCTTGAGAATAAGGTGCATTGGTCCAACACAAGAGGAGTACCGTCATCGAAGAAATTAGATCTATACGCCATGTACTCAGCATTCTCGACGAGCGAAAGGTAAACGCGTTTTCAATAGATGTGCATGAATTTTCAAGGTATGTAAAATTGGTATTGTGGGTTTTAATAATGTTGACTCGGGTCGGAAACGATCGTGGATGGTTGAAGAGTTTGTATAGAGAAAAAACACAGCTAAATTCTTCAAGGTGAATTGGTCAATGCTGAGCTACATAGTCATCCTTGCAATTCCAGGAAGTACTCACAAGATCAACGTATTTTTTTTAAGAAGGGCAAGTTGTCCCTTGAAGTTTGATGTTGTTTTAATGAAGGCAAGAAAGATTGAAAGGCGAAAGGAGACCTTGGGGTGATTAATGAGGGTAAATAGATATTTGATGTGAAAGACTCTGCATTGGGAATGGTGAATAGAGACCGGAAGGAGAAGGACAGGGGTCAGGATTGGGACCTGAAGCATTCAGCTCCAAGTTAGAGATTTTTTTCTGATGCGCTGTATTGGAAAATATACTTCACTTCGCAAGAGGCGGAAAAGAAAAGTCGAAAAAAGGTTCGAACGCAGAGATATCAGCACTTTGGCTCTAAATGACTCAAGATGGGGGAAACAATAGAGCTAATTGTGTACGGTGTAAGTGTTTGAAGGGACCCTCCGGCCATGGCGGACATCTTTCATGCCATCACAAAAGTTGATATGTACATATGATGGTCTTTCATTCGTGCAGGCTCATGACGAAGGAGCAGAGTCTTGCTCTTGCAGCTCCATATGACATATGACCTCCCGCTTGCTCAGAGTGTTGACTCAAGACTTGCAATAACAGGATCATACTTTTTGTCTTCCAACCATTTGGAACGATCGACTCAAATCACTGCCACATCCGCTGTAATTTAGTAGGTTCAGTCCGAACCCTGCGAGAGATACTTCTACAAGAGATTTAAGTTACGGGTGGACCAGCAAATGAACACGTGACTAACAACATGGGGTTGGAGGACAGACGGGATAGCCTAGTGATAAAAACAGATACATCTGATTTGTGTTTGAGCTGCTATTGAACAGTAGGATCCCGGGATCCTCACCTGGTCATCATCCCTGAGTTGGAATATGTGCTTCAAACAGTAAGAAGCTAGACCAATGTTGAAGCCATCGGGCGTGTACATATAAGCATATAAGTGTTCGGACTGAGCTCCAAGATGAATATATGAAACATCATCCTCTCCTTCGATCATAGATTGCATTCACAGTATCTTCAGAGGCCAAGCCAGTTAGTTTCAGACGTGTGATGGCATATCGGGAACTCTCTCCAAGAGGCGGCGAGCATTCGCATGCGATATTGTCGGCTGATATGTACCATGAGAGTGACTCTGACTCCCAACCACAGCTGTCTATGGCACGCTTGTACTTGATGACGAGGTCCGAAGTTGAACCTTGCCTTCTTCGAACTCTTTCCCTTCATCAAATATCCTCATTCCATCAACGACACGCGTAGAAACATTTGAAAACTCATCTTCCATTGACGCCCCTTCCTCTTTCAAAGCCCTTCGCCAGCTGATGCGCCCGCTCACAACTTTAGATTGCGTGTTAGACAAGACGCGAACAACAATAAGAAATATGGCAATCCAGTCTGCAACTCCTACCGGTATCTCGGATTCCCCCAACAGCCTGTATGTCTGGTAGAAGCGGACGTACCACGAGTCAATGTTCTAAACAAAGTTGTTCAAAATGAGAGAGGGCAGCTCTTTGATACCGTCAGGAAAAGTTGCTTCTCTGTAAACTAGTCGCACCTTATTGAGAATGTCTTTTATTTTCCGTATGTGGTACAGGACCTTATACGGAGTGAAGTAAGGAGAGGTATTTTTGCTTCAACGTGGATCAGATAATTGAAGGAATTTCCAGTGGGATGCGGATGAAGACAAATGTAGCAAGCATTGAATGATAGCAGCGCGACTTCGATGCAGAGAAGCAATGATTGGAAATCACAATCCTCTGCCAGATTGATGCGCATTCATCCAAAAACCTCATTGATTTACCCAATTGGCGTCATGGGACACGGGCCTACCAACTTGGTATATAGTACCAAGGGCAAGCTTCCAAATGCTGGGGGAGGAATGCTAGGATCTTCTTCGCGGTTCGACGTGGCCTGTCTCACTCTCGAACACCTGTCAAGTATTCACAGTGATCAGTGAGGGCAGTATGTGTTAGCCGTTTATGGATGAGTCATCAACAACCTCTTTGTCTTCATCAGATTGTTTGTGCATATTATAGTACTTTAAATCACAACTGACTTCGAACAACATATTTGTTGGTTGGGAGGCAAGTTGAAGTACAGGAGCGCGTTTTCGAGATATCTTTTTATCTATGTGCACGACCCAGTTGTCATCATATTGCTTGGTAAGACTAACAGATTTTTTTGACAACTGATAGATATGAACACGTGCTCGGCTCCTACTCCTTACAATGGATACCGATGCGAATCAAGACCTCAGACGTCTTACTGGAGTGGCGTGCTTTGGATGGAAATTGTCGGGGCTAATCGACCCTTAGCTGATAGCGTCAGGTAGTGTAGCTAAAAACAGCCCGCTAAGCTACAGTCGACTCTGATATAACCAATACCCAAAAAATGTATCGGTTTTCATGGAGTATCGGTTTTGTCAGAGCCAACTTCACTGAAAATTTAAAAAAAAATGGCCCAAAATTATCGGTTTTGCCCAGATTATCGGTTTTGACAGCTATTGGTTATATGAGAACGAGGGGCAATCAGGACAGCCGTGACAGTACTCTCACGCCGTGACAGTCATCTATTTCAGCGACCTGTCCCTCAGGTGTGAAAGCCCTGTACATTTATTTCACCCGCTCTTTCAGCCACGCCACATCCTGATGGAAAGGTCACTGAGACCTTTCCTTCATGTGACCCACTGGTGTGACACACCCGTGCAATCGTCCCCTGACCTCCACTCCTTCTTCCCCTGGCACGCGTCCTCTGAACCAATAAGCACCGTTTCACCACCTCTCCTCAGTCGCCTCCTCGAAATCGAACACCTTCACCACCTCACCTTTGACCACCACCACCATGCCTCCAAAAGAACCACGGTATATCAAATCTACCTTCAAGCGGATCGACCAGAGCTCGCCACTCCCCCTTCCCGCCATGGACGGACCGGTTGGTTTTGCGTGCCCTGCATGTCTCGACGTGGGCAAGACCACCCCGTTGAAATACATCAATCGGTTCCCAAATTCTTGGAAAGCCGCGGTTAGTTTCCAGAACCAAACTTTCCCTTCACCTTGACAATAGCAGCGGTGGGCTTGCTGCTAACTAACCCACCATGAATTTAATTCTCAGTGCGGCATCAAGAAGTCTGGCCACTGGTATCGCACTTGGGACCACCATCAACTCACCCACGAGATCACATCAATCAACGCAGGTCACTGGCCTCCGCTTCCATACGTGCCCCCCCATGCGATCGGCCTAGCCAATCGCCCTCCCCCCCAGTACTACCTCAAGTAACACCTAGCCAGCAGTTGTTGAATCGACTTTTCAACCCGACCCAACCAACCACGCCACCAGGCTCCGCAACCCAAACTCCGCCCATTCTATGCCGTGGCGTCAACGGGAAAGTGGGACAGAGTCATTCACTGACAGATGCCAAGAGAGGAAATAAGGATTGCGTTTACGACGCCTGTGCTTCGGTAAGCTCTTCCAGTCATTCACTCTGTTATGACACTTGAGCTCATCAGCGCTCTCTGTGCGTAGTGTTGTCAGACCGTTGGTGAGCGAAGTTGTGGGGCCAAAGGCCATCGCAAGCCAACCAAGGACCCCGCAAACGCTTTGATCACCGGAATCGACCTCTTTGTGGACCCTGCCTTGGCTGGGATGTTGCCTTACCATCCCGACCTCCTCCAGCCACCAACACGAGGGTCTCGTCCAGCCCCTCCCCCCCATCGCCGCCTACCTCCTCAGAGTGCACAAAGTGGTGCCCGGATAGCGCAAGGGTTCGATCGAGCTATGCTGGGTGATTTTTTCAATTTGCGGACAGAACGAGTGCACGACATTATGCGCAACAAACGCTTCACTGCCGACGAGGTCAAGGTGGTCACTGCCTTTGTTTGGCTGAAGGTAGTTTTCTCACCCTCGTATTGTGGTGTCACCATGATGATTTCTGTTACAAGAAGCTCATATCTTCTTGTATCAGGCAGGCGAGCATCCAGAGGTATACCCCTTTGTGGCCCCCAAGTGGCCATCTTTTGCCCTCAACCAGTGTGACGCGCTCGTGAGGGAAACTGCTCTAAGTGAAGGATTATCCAAAGGGACTTGGAGTCGATCAGTTTCACTCTGGAACCCTAATATTGACCTTTGGGTGAGAGACTTTCTTTTCATTCCTTCGCGCCTGGAACTTCATTTCGTCGAATCGCTTTTGCAGGCCCTTGTTGGGATCGATATTCCATTACGATTTCCAACAACACCACGACAGATCTTTGTCAAGGGGGCACTGCTCAAGCTGCAAGACTGCCCTGGGCTCGAGGCTCGCGTAAGAATGGCTTACACGAGCAATTGCTCTTCGTCTTGTGCAGCAAGCACTTCCGGTCCTGCCATTCACCAGACAATCACGTCATCCAACAGGCAGCCCACACCTTCTGGTTCTGGTTCGTCTACAGCCGCGCTTCCGGATCCCTCAGACGCCTGCGCCCAAGACAACCCCGACATCGTCTTTATCCCACGACCCCACCCAGTTTCAGGTGACTCTCAGCCTCGCGAACGGTCTCCGAGCCGTCGTGATGGCTCTGAGGAGACTCCCACGCAAGGGCCAACAGTGAGTGACCTTTCCCGAGCCGTGCTTACCACTGTACACGCAATGTGACTAATACTACGCACACCAGGACCCCATACCCTCACCACCACCACCACCAGCCACCCCAGACATTCCGAAAGAAGCTTGGCCAGACTTGGAGGCACCAATGACTGTTCTACTTGAATGGGCAGAACTCCACCCCCCCATGACCGTCCTTGGATCATGGGACCAATTGTTTCAACAGCGCTTCAAAAGCGTCAAAAGTACCATCTACCGCATATCTCGGTGGATCAAAAGGGTAGCGAAAGCCGGCAACGGCAAAAGATGGCAGGAATGGCTAAGTCAACAGAAGGCTGCGTCACAACCCATCACGATTGAGGCCGCCCGCAAAGCTTTCCACTTGGAATACTTGCAGGTATGCTCCAAAAACAAAAAACTCGGTGATGAAGGAACCACCAAAAAAAGAAAATTCGGTGAATGAAGGAGATCTGAGCCATTCCAAACGTCTTCCTATCTGTGTTGGAACTGACACATTTCCAAATCTGTTCTGTCTGTGACTTCCCTTGTCCCTAATTCAATTGTATGACCGGCTGCTCCATCCCATCCACCCTAGGTACCTCAGGACCATCACGTCTGTCCACCAGTCTTGGCACTGTAGTTTGCTTCAACTATGTCATCGAATTACATAGTTGTTATAATGTCCAAGAGTATCCCATCTCATTCCTGGATTCGGTTCGCAGTGGCTTCGCGACTTTGCGTATGCCTCCCTCCCAGGGATGCTCGCTTACTTAGCCAAATCACTAATATAGACACCGAATATTCTAGTTCTAGAAGCGAGTCTAAACAACTAAACAGCCGCTTTTTCTGACGCGCCAGGAATGCTCGCAAATGGATGGCTTTTGAGACTTGCCTTGCAAGACGTTCCGTATTTACTTTCAACCACCCCCACGATCTTTCAACACCACCCACACTTCCTTGATCACTTCACTACTTACGTTCGTTCATTCAATCAGTGTGTTATTTGCCCCTTTTTCCCACCCACGTCTCCTCTGCTTGTTTTGTGAACTGACTGAATGCAATTCATGCCTTCTGTACCCCATTGCAATTGTGTATCCCTCATCTAGGCCTGCCACAGTGACAGTGGAACCTCCTACTCCGCATCACGCACCTGTCGATCCACTTACTTTCCAAGCAAGGCCCGAGTCAAGAGCTTAGTGGTGGGTTTCCATTGCATTTCTCCTCTTTTTGTTGTGAACTCACCATGTCTTTCATTTTGATCAATCTTCTGCCTATGCAATGATACTTTTATCACGTTTCAATCTCCCAGTAATGTCTAGTGAAGCCGGTGAAAGCGCGGCTTCCACCAACACTGTTCACGTAACCAACCCTGAACCGTTAGTGGGTCAGACCTTGCCACCACCAAACAACATCAACAGTGAAGAAAGGGACGCTGCTGGACACATACCAGCCACCTTGCACTCCGTTTGTGGAATGGGTACGCATGCTTCAATGGTCTCTGCAACCCCTTACGCTTGTGCTTCATACTAATTGCCAACTTTTTGACATCCGTCAGTCAATCTCCTCTTAGGAGATGCCATTGGGCCATCCATAGATACCCTAGAGCTCGGTCGAGGATCCCTTTCGGTCATCGACTCAGACCCCGCTTCGGAATCCACATCACCACCGCCCGAAGCAAATGTGACGATGTTTGCTCTAAGGTCTGACGTTACCGAACATGGGGTTGAGATATCATTCCACACCACTGTGGCGACCATTGGCATTACGAATCGGCGCTTACATTCTTGGGATGAACAATCGACTCACCAAGCAATCCTCACGCGGGGACCATGTCATGTCATATTTGGCGTCCGAGCTTACAATACTATCCCACGCCAACTTTCCACGTATCTTGGCCACGCCCAGACGTACTTACACGTCGCAGTTCAATTGGGACGTTTCCGTAACAATTTACAAGGCCGCATGAACATCTTGAACACCACCGATCTTGAGTGGGAAATCCTTCAGGTTTTGAGGGTCAGTTGAATCATTTCGCACGCCCCGAAATGTGCTGATTCGTTTTTCATTCCAGTTCCAGGAGAACATGGTCGGAGTCTTGCACGAACCTCACATGATCCATAACGGCACTTGCATTGAACACTTCACCGCCGAGGAGCTGGTCAATGGCCCCCGTGACAAGTTCAGCCTGGAGACGACGTTCTCCCCAATGCAGCCTCCCCTCCATCGCCACTTTCTTTGGGAAACTGTTCATAAGATTCTCAACGCTTTCACACATTGGACTTACAAGAGCAGTGGTCACACCAGTTTTGTCACGGGATTTCAGGGTGTTGGTGTGGTATTGACGGAGGCAGTTGTTCACGATTCCGAGTGAGCCCGCCTCACAGGCCCCAAAATCCAATGTTCGCCTATCTGACGAAGTCCCATTCATTTTCAGGCGCCGCTGGATTACAGGCAACTACGGTAAATGGGCTATCAGTGAATTCCCTCGCAAGCATGTGTGTAATGCTTTGTGTGGCGCACTGGCCTTTCCGGTCTTGCCTGAGGTCCCTCCCCCCACCGACTCAGCAGATTGGTGTTAAGTGACTTTTGTTTGATTAACCCTCAATTCAAAAGTGTATTTGAATATTTTATTTCCCAACACTCATTTAAAACCAAATGTGTCCAAAAGTTTGTCTATGTCTGTAATTGTCTCTGATGTGTTGTCATGAGACCTTTAATGTGACGTACTGAAATTTAGTATTATTTGCCACCTTAATACACAAGAAGGTGGCATGTTCAACGCGCCTGTTTGGAGACACAAACACAAGAGTGACGAGTAGTCTTTCTGACCAGAGCAGAAGGGCACCGGTCAGAAAGAGGAGAAGAACATAATTGAATCGTTCTATGATTCATGCTTCAGGAATCATAGAACGATCATTGCGGATGAAAGACGAGTGTTTCGAAGAACAATCACACTTCTTTGGATTTCGCACAATAAGTACATAGTACAAGTCAAAGAATGTCAAGCAAATCATCACAAGGTATTTTCTATCTTGTCTTCACCGGTAAGCTAAAAACAAAGATGCAAAACGGACGGAAGAGATGATTCACACCCTGAGGTTTCCAATGAAGGTTATGTTAGATCTCTTAGCCAACCGTTTAAGTAGCCAATTATTCCTACGCTCCACAATGTCCTCCATCATGAAATTAAAACATATGCCAGACATACTCCTTGCTATAGATGCAAAACCACCATACCAGAGGTTTGCTATTTCGGCTGCTGAAGCGTTAAAAAACCAGCTGCCATCTTCTTCTTGTAGTTCCGGGAAAAGTTTGGGGTCAGTGTAGTACCGGCAGAACTCGTTGCTTTCCTTGTGTCCTTGAAAGTGGAATGGATCCACCGGAATGACGGTTTTGAGGAAAGGCGTGTAGTCAGCACCACTGTTGTAGATGTGGCTGACAAGGTTGCATGCGTTGTCGTAAAAACACACACCCGGCATTTTTTGGGGGAAGGAACGTAGCAAAAAGTCCTGCGACGTTTCTCAGTAATCTCGACCGCAAACCAACGGAGGTTTTCAGACAATGACTGACCTTTACAGCGCTGACGCCCTCCGAATGGAAGAAGGTCTCCCGAGCCAGAATGATCCCACACGTACTCACAATCAGCTGGTTGTTGTGAGTACGGCTGCGGGACAGGCAAACCTTTGCAGTCTTGACTTCACCCCCTTCGCGACCCTGCTCGTGGGCCCGATCGCTCTCGTCAGCGTGTTGGACGTCCTCTCATCCAGTTAGCTCGGCGGTTTCCCAGTCCTGGTGCACTGTTGGATCGGAGGGTCGGTTGAGCATGGAGGTCAAAGTGAAGTTTGATGTGACTCTCGCTTTGAATTTGTAATACGCTTGAATATGCTCTTGAAGCTCGCACGTGTGATGTCCTGGTTGAGCATTGTTCCGACAGGGCTGTGCCTGGCATCGGCTACCAAGCCGCTTTTGATGGTGGGGACAGAAGCGATCCTTGACACTGACAAGAGGGGATGTGCAAGGTCCATTTGGAGGGGGAAGCGCATCTGCTTGCGCTAATTCTTGTAGTTGTGCAGGAGTCGCTGTGCACCGCCAGTGTCCAATTGTGATTCCGTCAGTCACGACCGCTCGGATATCTTCAACAGAGAGAGAATAGGGAGTGGACACGGTCAGATATGTTCAGTCTGGTGTGGTATGGGTCTTGCAATGGTTAGGTGAAGGGACGAAGGGACGATTTGACTTACATCCTAATCTGGGATTACCGTCTTCACCAGGCAGTGGAACCACACGGAGGCATGCAGAGCAGACATGCCTGCGATGGTGGCTGCCTTCCAACGCAATCCACTCCAGCACCGCTTGCATCGCCTGATGGTATCGCTGGTTGGGAGGACCTGAGGTCTCGACGCTCAAGCAGCTTTGTCGCCAGTCTGCTCGCAGTAGCAGAGTATGGATATCCAGTGTGTCTCTGCAAGTAGTTTCGGATAATGAGGGTAGAACCTTGGGAGCCGATTCAAGTTCAGGTAGCTCCACGTAGTCAATGTGGGAGAGATTGAATATGTTGACGAGGTTGAAGTTGGAAATGCTGGAGAAGATAATGTAAGTTCCTTTGGCAATGCACAAACAAAGATGAATGACACTGACTGTGCGAGCATCTGTGCATTTCGCATGAACTCCGCGAGGCGATGAGTCATGAAATAATGACAGCTGACCTGATAGGTTTCGTCATTACGTCCATTCTGGGCGGAGTAATACGTGCGAATTTTGTTCGCGGAAGAATAGTAGCTTGGTCGATAGTGGGTGGCACATTCTGCTCAACCGCAAACGTTGCTCAGCTCAGCTTGTTTGATCTGTTGTAGGCATCGTTGGGGAAAATCAACTAACTGGGGCATTTTAAAGTCACAATTCCCACAGTATGAACGCCGTCCAGGTCGTATAGGTATCCATGGATTTGAGAGCGATGATGTAACTTTTGCCGGCCATTCTTGGGATCATGACAGAGTAAGCAGTCCTTGACAGGAGTAAAAAGGGTAAATTCAGGTATCTTGACATCTAAATCACTGCGATAGCCGTGTTGCTGGATCAAAGGTCCGGGTTGAACGTGGAATTGGCTTAACATAGGAGCGATTGCGCGCCATAGTTGATGACTTAAATCCGGTGATAGGGAAAGTTTCAGAGCCAGACGTAGGAAGGGTATGGTTGATGTTGAGTCTTTGAATTGCCATGCGTCTTTGCTACGGACGGCGACCTCGCTGCAAGGCCAGCGAATCGAACGAGATCACCGACATGCAGTGTCGAGTAGAGCTGAGGGAAATCTTTGGAAAGGATGTCCACAAATTCCGAGAGAAGCATGATGAGAGTGACTTCGAGATCGTGAGCGGGATGAGAAATTAAATGAAGTGCAAAAGATTTCCAAGTGTGCGGTGATATGTTTGGATGTTTGTCACCAGGACTGTTGTTTGTCTGTTGACCATATGACCAAGATCAAGACAGGGGAGGCGACAGGTACCAACAAACCTTTCGATGGTGGGTTATGGGCCATGATTACATGGGTTGTGAGGGGGCGTGACAGTCACTGTCAGCTGTCACGGCCTGACAGTCACGGCCCTCCCAGTGGCTGCGACCTCTGGGTTATATCAGAGTTGACTGTACAGCTAGCCTTATTTATACAAGAAAGAATTCCAGCTACCCTACACAGAGTCCCCGAAAATCTCTACACCACAGGGGTGTTTTGCCCGCCTGCAGGCGGTCCATCCAGGCCACCTGGAGACGGTCTGCCCTTCTGCAAAGGTAGGCGGTCTCCAGGTGGCCCTCACGCGCAATGTCTGGCAGGCACCTGCTGGGCTCGCCGGTAGGCTGGCTTGCTTGCGCCCGCTGGCGGGCTGTGATCTGCCTTCCGTCCATCAAAAAAGCAGTTGTACACAGTATGTACATTAAGGACAGAACCATGTCGTAGTCCTCAAGCAGATACTTCAGAGTTTCCATGAAGGATTTGTTACTTTGTATAATTATATACAAAAACAAGCGACTCCAAGTTCAAACCTGAGCCAGGATCATCACGAAAGACACCAATCATATCGTGATATTGATTTCAACCGCGTATTTGGTCTGACGATGGCCCAGAGGCCGACTACGGCCTCGATTTCTCTTGTCCATCTTCAGGCGGTCAGTGGGCCGCCGATTGATGGCCTGCCAGCCGGTCTACAGGTGGCCCTCAGGAATGACCATTCTCAGACTAAGAAAGGCCATTTCTAGACTCAAAGCCCCTCCGTGGTGTAGCTGACCAAATTTTGGCCCTGTAGACTGAGTAATCGGTACTCAAAGCAACTATGTACGCGTACATATGTAGCTTTGAGTACCGCATAGAGGCACAAAACTCAGCTACAAGAGCTTGTAGTGTACATACTGTAACTTGACAAGCTACACTATCCCAAGGGCAAGATTCTTGTTAAATGCACTCAGTTACACTACACACAAAATGCACGGTAGCATGTTGCAGCATAGCTGTCTCAGCATTGGTATGAGTCTTATAAATCTTGTACAATACTAGGTCAGAAATCCAAGCACATGTGACTTTCAATTGTGTATCTAGCCAATACCTGAACCGCTCCAAAACGCAATGAAAAACAACTCTGCGGAGTTGGCGCTATGGCTCACTCCCCTATGACATTGCTACTTTTGAGGTAAAAAAACTTACAAAGTATCGGAGTGGAGAATTCGCTTTTTGTCGGATATATAGCTCATTGGTCAGGTTGGAGTCAGAAGGCAAGAAACTTAATTGTGTATGTATTCCATATCATGTATGATAATGTGTCTTTAGAACATAAAAGACAATCGGGAAAAGTTATGAGACATTGGGGGGAAAAAAGTAAAAAACAAAAACAGAAAGTTTTTGTAGAGTGAGAAAAAGATAACAGTAAAAGAGAACAGTATCTATTGGGGTTTCTTAGACTTTGCCATAGCTTCAACATAGGCTTGAAGCGCTCAGGCAGCTTCTTCAAATACTCCATCAGGAACGATTCCCTCCTTCAACCACACTTGGGAGCCAACAAGGTGCTCCATAGTTTTGGGTAACATACTACTTCTTGATGGGGTACACACATTGGCCGCGGCTGAAAATGTCTGCTTGCATGCACATGAAGTGGCTGAAATTGATAAGTAATCACGGGCAAGTTCCGCAAGGATAGGGAAATGACTTTTGTGTTCCTGTAGTTGAGAGCCAATGTTAGTCAGGACAGAAAGAAAGAGAATGAGTAAGAAGAATTAACAAGGCTGCCACTATACTATACTATACTATACTGTGACTATACTTGGTATAGTATAGTTCAACTATACGGTACTTAAACTATACTTGGTATAGTATAGTGCAACTATACTCATCTATACTATACTATACTGTGCAGTATAGTTGAACATGCTGATGGAAAACTTGTGTAACCCTTGTCCATGTGTAGTTGATCAATTGATACTATAATGAGTATATTTAAGAAAAGTATAGTTTCAACTATACTATACTGAGTATAGTATAGTACAATTTAAACTATACTATACCCAACTATACTCATACCAGTATAGCATAGTGGCACCCTTGGAATTAACATACCTTCCACCATTGTAGAGGAGTTTGGTCTCTTCTGATTGGATATTTACCTTGTAAATATTTGTTGAGCTCTGAAGTTGAAGACTAAGTTGGCCCTTTGTCTGATGTTCCAAAAACATCAAATTCATTGGCATTGGCAGGCTCATTGTCATCTTGAGGTGGTGGAGTTGGTTTGTGGATCTTCTTTTCGTCCACAACGGAGTTGAATGCGTTCTCAATAATCAGCTGTGATGAGACTTCATGATCGGAATAGTGAAGGTTGAAGAATTTGCCTCGGAAGTGTGGTTTGAGTATGATGGTGAGGACTATGGCATCAGAGTTGGCAGCCTCTTCTTGGTAATCAGTCAGCCACTTGATCATTACCTCAATGGTGTGATCAAGACTTGCAAAGATGGATGCTTCAGCTTGGTGTTGCTTGAGTTTGTTAATGACCCACTTATATTCAGCCAAGAGGATGCAGACAGTAGGCCCATCACCCTCTACTTGAGCTGTTGCATCAACAAGAGTCTACATGATAGAGGTGAAATGAGTATTGACGATAAAAAAAATTAGAGAGAAAGGAAATAAACAAACCTTGAGAACTTTGTTCACCAACTCAACGGCATGCCACTCTGAAGCCGATATTGTGACACCTTTGAAAAAACAGGCCTTTTGGTTGGCCGCAATCATTGAGTTGAGTACCTAGAAAAAGAATGGAGAGTAAGAAATTATATAGCAAGATAATGATAAGTGAGGAATCATAATATAAAAGAATGAGAAATTATAATATAAAAGAATGAACTCACCTCCTGTGCCTCACATGTCAGCTTGCGACCTTCATAGTGACTATTCCAACGCGTCTTGCAAGGCCTTTTCAACATGCGCCCCTTGTATCCCAAACAAATGGCATGTGTCTTAAAATCATTTCGACAGGCGGCGCTACTTGCAATCTGACCTGAGACAGTGTCCACCTGCAAACACAATGGAATATTAGTTTTCATGAAAACCATAACCAAACGAAATTTTAAAAGCAGACTGACCTTGTGAAGCGCAACTGCAACTACGTCATGTTCATCTAAAAGGAGCACTTCCTCTTCTCCATCTTGATGACTATTCTCGGATAGGAAGAGATATACCATGAGGTAAAGATGGCTTGGAACCACCTACCTTCTGACCTAAGGCTTTGAGTCCGTGCCCCACAACAAGATTTAGTTTATGAGCGTAACATCACACGTGATGAGTTTGGCTCTACCAGTGTACTGGATCATCAGGGGCTGCAAACATTGCCTTGAGTTTGGAGGCCATCGTGGTGTTATTTCCTCCACTGTTGGTTGTCTGCGCTAAGAGGTGTTCAAGATACAAAAGAAGATAAGCAAGAAATCGAGTGAAATGAATATGAAGAATATGAAGAAAAGAAAAGAATACTTATCTTTTTATGTAGTCCATGTTGGACTAAGAATTGACCAATCGGTCTGGCAAGCAAAACCCCAAAATGACGCCATCCCACCATCTTGAGGGTGAGATGGGTCAATTTATATTCCCAATCGTCACTGATATAATTTTCTGTTGACCCAACAAAGGCATAGTGATTCCCTTTCCTCGTCCAAACATCATGAATCAAACAAAATTTGCCTTTGTTTTGCTATCATAAGTTTGATAAAACAGGATCAGCTCGTGATAGTCATATTATATAAGAGGGAAAGTTCTACTTGCCTTCAGGGTATTGATGGCCTTTTGATGTAAGGACGCATGGAGTTGGACAGACTGCTTGGTGGCCCAAGCAGTTGATCAAATAACCGCACTACAATTGACGGAATAGGAAGCGGCACACAAAGCCGGGTCGTGAAATTGTATCCATGGGAGCGCATGGCAAACAATCCAGATCACAAGGATCATGTTCAACAAATCAACAGAAAATACGGGTCCACTAAGGAAGGCGTCCAAAGTCGATTTCTTCTTCTTTTTGACTTCCATCTGTTCATTGTAGGATGGTGGGAGCTTGAAACCAGCTCAAATAGCTTTATGGCGCATGGTACACAGGTCGTTTCTTGTTGCCATCACGGTGACCCCATAAATTCCAGTAGGAAGAGTCATGACGCAAGAACGACTGCTTGCACCAATGACACTTGTAACTTTGCCCCTAGATAATCGCATCAGATTAATGAACAAGTCAGCATACAGTTTTGAAAGATCAAACACAAGGAGGAAGTCTTACCACTAGAGGTTCATAGAACTTGAGAAGTTCCTGCACACAAGCGATTTGAACCTCCATATATCCTGGGCCATTGTTGGTCCCGACTATCTTGATATCAGAGCCTTGAGACAAGGCAACATTGCAAGGTACCTTGTAGGCCTACATGGAAAGGATCAGAGGTGAGTACGTTTGTAAGAAGGACATATGAAGTGATTGAAAGACTTACACTGTCTTTTGACTTCTTTGGTTGGGGTGAGGCTGAGTTACCCCTAGAGCTTCCGGATGGTGATCGGGCTTGCTTGCTTGTTGATGAGTGAGCCTAAAAAGCAAACCATGCGGTCAGTCAAATGAATTCATATCATCATGCTGAGAAAGATGGTACTTACTTTTCCTTGGCCATTAGGTTTGGATTCAACTGTGCCTTTGCTACCTTTCTTTTGTTTTATAACAGGTGGTCGAGGTGATGCGGACCAATCAAGAAGAGGGCCAGGTGAACCGAGGTTGCCCTCTGAGCTGGAAGGCAGGATGATTGTGGTATGCAAGTCCTTTGCAAGTCCTTGGGAGTCGCCACAAAGCCCG